GCTCTAATAGCAGTGAGTGGAAACAAAATGCAGTATGTATGCTATAGTTACATGAGGCAAAATGTTTTTGTGTGTACACATTTTCACATGCAATATAATTTGCTAGATGAAAGTAGCAGTTACTGTAGCTGTAGCTCCAGTAGTGTTTCATGAGTTCTGTAAACTAACTAAATTAGCTAAATAATTGCTTTATATAATCCTATTTGTAGTGCAGTCATTATGTCTACCCTTAGGAGAAATTGTTTATAGAGCCTAGTGACTGGCAGCCCCTTTACATGCAACACTGCTCTAGTGCTCCAGAAAACACTGCTGTTATTTGCTTGTTTATGCTTTTCTTGAAGATACAAGAAGATGCATGTCAAGTAAGGCATTGATCTACCTTTGGCATATTTCTTGTTCATCTTAATGTGCGGCATGGACAGCTAGCTTTGCGTTCTTAGCCACAGTCCTGCACTAGGGCAGAGCAAATATCACTTCAAGAGAAGCAGGAAGGTGGAGATTTATCATATCCCTCTCTTATATCCAGCAAGATGTTAGGTTCAGAGGAATAAGGGAAAGACCATGCAGAATGGAGAAAGTTAAGTCTCATTCATTTTTCTCTCCTGTTCCATCTAAAGTGGAATTTTGTATATCATATCAGCATATCATTCCTGAGACATGTCCTTCAACATGGACTGCATGTCCCTTGCAAAGCCAAACTAAAAGCTCTGTGCTGCACCTTGTGACTATTTTTTGTTGTTTAGACTGAAGAGGAATCGGTTTTGATGCACAAAATGCTTTGCGTGTTGTGAACAAAAAGCAGTATTTCTCGGAGCACTGGAAGTGGTAGTGCAGAAAGACTGCCAGGGAGCAGGCTCTGCAATCTTAGAATGCTTCAGTAACATCAGCTGTCATCACTCAAGAAATTCCATGTGTAACGTTATCTGTGACAGCAAATCTGAAATGAGTTTTAGGCTGCCCAATTGTTAAAAATAATTCTTACTCATTTCCTGACAGAGTTAGTACTGTGACTGCCAAACTTAGTAAACACTGTTTTCTTCTACCTGTATGAAGTCAAAACTGACAGCTGTTGAACAATTAAGGAATTTATGGTGGGTGGACCCTTGCTGGCTGCAAGACCCTGATACAACCACTGCCTCATTTCCCTGCCTCAGCAGGATAGGGGAAGCAATTAAGGTGGAAAAGTTCATGGGTGGAGGTAAAGACTGAGAGTTTAACTACCAGTTACTGTCAATGGGCAAAAGAGATTCAATTTGGGGAAAATAAATTTGGTTTATTGCCATTTAAAAATAGAAGTGGATGGTGAAAATTAAGACAAAATTTAAAGCAGCACAACGGGATGTGGAATGGGGAGTTGCAGTAAATCTGTAACAATTCCTCTCTGTCTCTCTTTCCTCATACTATTTTTTCCTGCATCATCATGGGATCTTCCCGTGAACTAGTCTTTCAGGAGCCAGAGTGGGCTCCCCATAGATTGTAGCTCATTCTTAAAATACCCAACTGCTTCACTGTGGCGTCTTCCAGAGGCTACTGTCTGGAGATATGGTCCTCCTTCAGCTGCAAATGGACAACCTATTTCACCATAGTCTTTTTCATGGCCTACAGGGGAATTTATGCTCCAGCCCCTGGTGTACCTCCTGCATTCCTTCATTGATGTTGGTGTCTGCAGGGCAGTTTCTCACAATTGTTGTCGTTATTCCTTACTGCCTGTGCAGCATTTCACCCTTCTTAAGTACATTTTCCCAAGGCACCTCAAAGTTTGCTACTGAGCTAAGCTGTGTCCTGCATTGGGTTTTCTGGAGCTGTCTGTGTCCAGCACAAGCCAGCCCTTGGCCTTTTCTCACAAAGGCCACCCCTGCAGCCTCCACACTACCAGTACCTTACATCCTACACCCTGTATTTGATGCAAATGAGCTAACAAGAACTGAATCTAAAACTGCGGGTGTAGGTGTGAAAGCAGAAGAATGCTTCACTGACCTTTTTGATGAGTAACATACCTTCTAGACTAAAATAATAAAATTGGAAGAAACTTGACTTAGTTAGTTATAATACAAAACAACTACTTCATTACAGTACTGAAGAGAAAGGTAATATAAATATTAAGGTAATGCTTATATTCAATATAGAGGAACAAGAATGCAGAAAAATAAAATTTCCTAAATTGGGTGTACAGGCTGCTGTGATTGGCAATGACTTTACAGAGATTGTATGTGAAGCACTTACTCAGCAAAATTGACCAAATATCTAGGAGCCTCATAAATAAAAGTCATTTTACTCCTTAAACAACAAAAAAGTGTTGAATCTCATTAAAAGCAGGACAAAATTTTATTATACTTTTTCAGATGCAAACATTCCAGGATCCTCCAACTACTGTGGTACAGTAGATTCAAGACAGAGAAATGAGGTAGGAAAATGTGTTGTATGAGTGACATTATTCCTTTTAGCTGAAGTCTCATATGGAAATCAAAGAGTACTTCCTTGGAAGGATAAGATAAAAATAAGACTGGTAGTGAAAAACAGTTTTGTATCATTTTCAAAGGAGCTACTATCTTGTGTGGCAATAGAAGTATAACTAACCTATCATTAGATGTAATGTGGAGCGGCTGCAGCTCTCATGTAACACTTTGCTTCTACTCAAAACTAAATGAATTTGTTCTTTAGTGAGCACTACATATACATCTTAAAAAGAAAACAGTGCTTGGGCAAATGTATCTAAGTTATTCTTGACTTTTACAACTAGCACATACCAAGAGCAGCTTAGAAGGGATCACCCTGTGTCTTAGAAGAACAGTACACACTTTTCCTTTCTCCCTCCATTCTCCTCAGTTTTGCTAACGTTCCTGGTCAAATACCAACACTTGTATTGCCAAGCTACTCAGTCTGCATAATGGTCAGTTCGGTGGGTTGGAATAACTGGCCAAAACCAGCATGCCATGCCTGCCTGCATCGTTTTATCTGTTGCCAGCTGATGTTGCCATGACTGATGTTTGCTTGGCTCTGCTCCCTCTTCTGTAGCACTTGTCATCAGGGTTTGTTGTCTGACTAACTGGACCATTTTTAACAGTGAGGAACTGCCCGTAGAAATGCAAAAAGGGAGAGAAAAGTGGATTCACAGTATGTTGGAGTGGTTCTTATCTGTCTAAAATGGAAAAATCCTTGTTCTGTCTCTCACTCTTTCCAGTATAGCTTACTCGGATGCACAAGTTCAACTTGAGGCTGTCCCTTTTGGGGAGCTGACTGGGATAAGAATAGTCAGATCTCCTGTTACCTGCCATCTCTGCAAAAATAAATAAATAAAATGGTTGCGTACTATGATTTAAGCCAAGTGTGTACCTGCTGCTGTCACTATTAAACACACTCTGTACGGAACGTATATACTGTAAATAGGTTTTCCCCTGCTTTCTGCTAATCTCTCTATCTTGCTGGGATATGTTGCAAATTGTTCTTTGTGGAAGCCTTACTAACCTAGACCTTGTGCAGCAAAGTATAATGCTACAGCTGAGGAAACATGATCTGCAAAAGCTGGAGATGATGGCATAGGATCACCTCATGAAGAAGGTTCACCATGTGAACATGCTGCCAGATTGCCACTAGACTTGCCTGTTCAACTAGCAGTAGTGTTAAAATACTTGTAGGGAAGTAAGGTATAGCCTTTCTTGGAAGTCTGTCTGGTGTTTAGATGATTGCTTTGGGAAGGAGGGTACAGATTACTCTGCAATGTTTTAATGTTCAAGATGCCTGGAAATTTTTGTATACTACTCTCAATTTGGGTTGGGAATTGTTCCTGGTAGAATAAAGTGGTTGACATTCAGTTTTGCTACAGTTCAGTATTTGAATACTCTTATGCAATTCCTTTGAGTAGTTTGGCTGGAAAAGCTTGTTTTGATTTTTCTTTAATTTTCTTGCAGAATTTTTTTCAGTTTATTGGCTAAGTCATTTTACATGTGGCTTCCAGATAAACCTGGCCAATTTCTGACGTATTTCTTTTTCTGTTGGTGTTTGATAAATTCAGATCACTCGTGTAAGTAGGGAGAGCAAGTCTAAATCCTGAGCTGAAATGCAGGGGATGTGTGCTGTGACCCAGAACATAAGTAAAGGAAAAGTCCTGTTCACCATGTCAAATAGTCTGAAGCTTTGTGAACTTAGTGCTGGTCTTCTTTGTATGACTGCCAGGGTGTAAAGGTCTGGTCAGAAAAGATGGCAGTCCAAAAATCTTCATCCATTCCTTTGGTTTCCTACTTGCATTTGCTGTCAGGTGCTGGATGGCAGCAATCCCTGTACTAAACTGCATAGTAAGTTGATGGTACCTGTTACAAAAATAGAGGGAACAGCAAGAACAGAAAGTAATCTATACAGAAACTTGTAAAGACTCAAAGGAGGAGTTTTATGGCTGAGGAGCTATATTGAGTATGCATTGTGGATGTAACTGTAGGAGTTGGTCTGAAGACATAAGGCTTTATTGAACAAAGGCAAGATACTTAATTTCCAGAGTCCCTCTAATTCTAAGAAGCTAGCTGATGGAGCAGTGTGTTTGAGATTACTGAATCTCTGTCATTAATGACATCAGAGCTTAGCGAGGCTTGATATTAGTTACTGAAATGAATGTAGTGAAGACTACATATCCTTGGCAGGTTAACCTTGAAATCAGTCGAGAGCAGGGCAAACAGAAAGTGAGGGAGTGAACAAAAGCAAAGGCAAAAAAGCTTTAGAAATTAGGGGGAAAAAATCTATAATGGGGTGAAAAGTAAGTTGTTCTTTTTTTAAAAAAAGAAGAAAGTATTCATCAATGAGGGGCTTTACCTGTAACAGAGCAAGAAAGAACAGAGTTGAACATGAACATGTATAGATTGTTTTCAGATAACTATCTTCCCCTTTGGACTTTTTATAAAGACTTTTAAGTTGTTGGAGATGCATATTAACACACCTAGCAATTAAGGTAAGCATCTAGCTCTTTGTATGAAGAGAAGTTTCACAGATTTGAATTGATTTTTGTCTTGCAGATCCACTAAGACTCACCCTGGGCCAGTTGTACATTTAAGTGATAGCCCAAGAGATGAAGGGAAAGTGAGTACAATTAATGATATAACATACTGCAACATTTTATAGCCTGCATTGACCTTAATAACACTTTCTCTGATATGATAATCTGCTTTCATTCATTATATGTATGTTTAGGGTCACTGTTACTGTTTTACAGCTTTTATGAAAAAAAATCTCTTTGAATAAGTTTATGAGTAAGAAATTATAATACACAGACAACATCTCTTGAAATCTACAGCCAGTCAAAATTGTCAAAATTGTTCCTGATTAAATAAATGTGATTTTTGTGTAATTAAGAATTGACTAGAGACTGCCAGGACTTTGGTACTTGCAGAATGCATGCGATGATGAGGACGTTATACCAAGCTTTCATAAGATTATATATCGTTTTTTACACAAGAATAATAATGATAGCAACCAACATTTGGAACTCGCTGTTGTTCTTTAGCAGAGTTGAGAGTAGCAAAGAGCTGTGAATAAGTGAAAGCAAAACATGTAATCGAAGTGTGATTCATATCATGAGAAGGCAAAATCTGAGTTGGCTTTGTTTCTGTGGTAGCTTTTTGAAAATGAAATTTGGTTGCCAGAAATGTTTTATTTAGATGCTGCTGCTAAATTTTTTAGCATTTTGCCCATGTGGAAGGGCACTTAGCTATTTTGTCTTTTTTGATCACTTTTGAGAATTACATTTCAGTAAGCATTTATAAAGGACTCCGATTTACAAACGGTGTATCTATTTGACGCTGTGTCTCGTGTAAGTGCTGATGATTATTGGAAATTAGAAGCATTCAGAGTTTGTGTTTCTGATATAGGGTGCATTATGCTGAAATTAATATAGCTACCCAGGATGACACTGGAGACTACATCTGAATTTCATTTGTATTGTCAATCCTTGGAGTTATCCATCTTGCAGAGTGAACTATATGCAGACAGTGCACTTGCTGTCTAGTCCTCCAACAGCCTGGATCTTTAAGCTTTTCTGAAAGAATCTCAGTAGTTGAAGCGATTTAGAATAGAGCCAATGAAAGTAATTAAATGCTATGGAGCATAGTGTCGTAGCCTCAAACCAGGAGTCATCAAGAAATGCTACTTAACTATTGATGCTGAAATACCTGATAAAAAGCAAGTTTTATTGTTCCAGTACAAGTCTTGTTTGTTGCATTCCAAAGAAGCTGTTACTGACCCACCTAAAGCACAATGTGTAGTGAGAAAAATGCCAAAAGAAAAGAAATTCTCCGTGAGTGTGTATCTCTTGAAGGAAGTCATGTACCATGTTACAACAAAAACCTAAAATATTTTTACTTCAGCTGAAAGGAAGATGAAAAGACTTCATCTCCAACTTCTCAACTTCTCAACTACTGAGACTCCAACTTCTCAGTAAAGGAAGCTGGAGAAGAGTCTACTTGGAAAGTACTACAGTTGCTTATTGGTTGGAGAATGCATTTGAGAGGTCTGGGCTCTGATGAAGTATTGGCATATGAGCAAGGCTCTGGTAAAAGCAAAGTCAGGTAGATTCTTTTTGAAAACAAACATTGGAAATGTATTGGGAGAGAACGAAAGATGTACTGAAACCATCCCTGTGCTGCTGTCTGTATCATTGATAAATTGAAAATGGTGTAAAGAACCAATTGATCCTAACAAAATACTAGCAGATTTGCAGAATGTGGAATCAGCAGTTTAATGTTTAATGGAAGATATCAGTAAAAGGTTCACAGAAACAAAGGAGGAGGTCAAACCCTGAATCAAAAGACATGGTTCCAGTGAAAAGGTACAATAGTAAAGAGAGGGAAAAAAATATATATTTGAGTTGGAAGAATGAAAATAAAAAAAAAAACAACAACCTTTCTTCAGAAAGGACAAAATGGAAGGAAAAATATAAACCCAGTGTTTGGGTATTTTTGTGCTCAGCATAGTTATAAACAACCTAGAAGAGGGTAAACTGTGATGTAATCAGGTTTGCTGGACTTTAGGAGAATGAGAAACTCAGCAGTAAAATGGCAGCTTAAATAATGACTTTTGTAAGTATTTGGTATAGACAATGTGAAGTGATGCATGTGAAGGATAAGAATATTTCTAACTTCATATATAAGACGGAGGGTTTCAGATGATCATTACTGCTTACTATCAAGATTACAGAATGGAGACTGATTTCTCAATGAAAATATCAGCTCAGTGCTCAGTAGTGGTCAAAAAATAAAATAACAGGCACCATTTAGAGCAGAATAGAGAAAACAGGCCTATTGCATAAATGCATGGTTGACTTGCCTGCTCTGTACTGAGTAAAAAACTCTTGCTCTTCTGTCTCAAAAGTGATGTAATCAGGCTCAAAGAGATTCAGAGAAGGGGCAACGTTTTCTACCTGATACACAGTTATGTCAGACAGGAAAATTATGGAATAGATCTGATTGTGATCCTGAGTTTGAAAATAATAATTGTTATGAAGAGGAAGACAGTCCATAGTCTCTTTCAATACAAAAGCTAGAAGAATATTTTGGGTAACAATTCAGTTATAATCATTGCTGGTAAGACAGATATTCTTATACTCTGTAAGAATATTGCACTCTGCCAGGATCCAGTAGTGTATACTTCTCCGTGATATCATAAAGTTGATTACTGTTAGAATGCTTAAAGTTCAATAGTTGATATCAATGACTGATGACCAGTATTTCTGTGCCAAAAGATTGAATGTAATTAATTCCAGAAGACTTTGACCTTCCAAACAAACTATCAAGGCAGGGTTTGAAGACGGTCTCTGTTACGATTCTAGCAAGTGGTAGTTGGAAGACAGACAACAAAGAGAATCTGGGCTTTTAGCCTGCCATTTAAGAACAATTTGGGGACCAAGTGATTAAGTTCATGAAATGTAATTACCTGCCATGTCAGTGAGGTAGTGTACATTAGGAACAGACTGAAGTACACAGATGTTTGTAAGTAGCAGATCTGTAGCAAACAGTATTTTTCTTGCTAACACAGAAGAAGACATTAACTGCAGTGATCTGTAGTTTCCCAGCAACTGGAGAAAGCTTAATAGGAAAAGGTTTGATGATATCAACCATCAGATTGTGGACTAAACTTCCTATCTCTGAGTCTGTGTTCTGAGATCTAATAACACCTAAATGTAGAGTGCGCTTGGCAGGCTTTTTTTTTCCTCCCCACATAAATTTTGTGCTGCCAGGACGAAGACAGGGCTGCCTGGCAGGTACCAGAATGGAAGTTGTTGATTGCAAAGGAGAAATCTCCCTTAAATACTGACATCAAAATCATTTCAGAGATAAGGATTTGTGTGGTCAGAATGTGGAGCAACTCTGCTAGACATGGAAGATTGTGCCAGGACTCCTCCATCATTGAAATTCTGTGCAACCTACTGTATGATTCTTAATTGTTAAGTATGAGAAATTAAACAAGGGTTCAGAAACACAAGATGAAAAGTTAGCTTTTTGGTTTCTTCCTATACTCCTTTTGTATCAATACATTTATGGTTTTCTGTTTATGTTTTCTCCTACAGCTGTATTTACAGATTATGGGTTTTTTTTACAGTGTTGACTAGCATAGAGCTCATCTTACAGATCTCTGAAGTGCCTACAATAAGCAAGAGGAGTGAGAAGGCTTGGGTTTTCTGAACTTCAGACAGATTAGATTCAGATCAACTGATTCAGACAGTTTAGAGTATCATAAATACACAGAGTATGAGACTAATCATATTCACCCTGTTGGAATTCTGACTTTATTGTCACACCGCACTATTATTAGTCAAGCAGCAGAGCTACCATCTGAGAATAGAAGATAGATAGAGATTGCAGCTATGCAGCAGTTCTGTGCATCTTTCAGCTTCCCGTGAAGCTCAATGCTTTCTATCTTGCAGTTCTTTAGTGCTGTTGTGCATCGACATTTTAGTGATAGATCACATGGGAAGCTGCATCTGATAGGTGATACTTTACCTTTTAGTAATTACCTGGAGCACAATGTCTTTGCAAAAGAGAGTGATAAAAATCAAGAAGCAAGCCTGCTTCACTGGGGATGGGGAATGCTTATTATGAAACAAGGTCACATACTAAATGCTTTTCTATTCCTTTCCTGTTCTAATTGTATAAATCTGAGAAAGAATACTGGTAGACCCAAACCAAACTCAACTGGTTTGGTACCCAGCTGTAATGCAGTAGTGAAGATAGTAAGAAAAGCACTCAGAATCTGCATGATATATACAAAGAATACAAAAAATACAAAAAGGAAAAAAGACAGATAATCTTATGTACCTAAAATGCTGGAAACCCCAAATAGTACAACATGAAATGGACACAGCACACTCTGCTGACACACATCATCTGTGAAGAGGTTCATCGGCATTTCCATCTCTTTAGAGCTCTTAAAAGATTTGCTTACTCAAAAAGTTTATTCTTTCTACTGTCAAGCAAAAGGTTGCTCATAGAAGATACTGCTTTACATTTAGATTAAGACAAGGGCGCATGGGTACTGTGTTTACTCTTACCAAGAGGGAGCTGCCTACAGGCTTCTCCTTTACCATTACCCTGCTAAGTTTGTCTTGTAGTCAAGGAATATGTGCAGCAGAGCGTATCTCAGTACAGGCCTGTGCATAGTTAGGCTGTTCTGCGAATCACTAAGTCCTGAATATACAATTGTCTCTGTTTAGAACCACTACACTGGCAGTGAAAGAATTTGCAGTAAGGCCCTTTGTTCATTTTCCTGTTGGCAGTCCTCTGTGTCAGATTACCATATGGCAACCTGACACCAGTACTATCCAGTTTGCTATATGATTTCTGAACACTGATGTCTTTTCTCGTTTACTCTGCTACAGAATCCCAGATGGACCTGTCCAGGGCAAAAATAATAAATATTGTGAGATTTCTCCAAGACAATTTGTGTTTTGTTAGGGAACAAAATTCCTAAATAATCAGGTATTTTTCCTATTCAGGCATTATATGTATTTAACTGTAAGTCATTCCGAGAACACGAAATGGATCTCCATGCAAAAAATATTCTGACAACACAGAGAATTATATCCAGTAGAATTTAGAGTATTCCCAGACTCTGTATACTGCGGTATTGATGTATTAAAGAGGCTTAATTTGGAAAAAAAGAGTTTTGTTTTGCAGTCCAGCAGTTCAACTTTTATGACTTACACAAGCTATAGTCAGTAACAGCAGCGATTTTAGTGAAGTTTCACAGACTAAGAGATAGTCTTGTCATCTTGTCATTCTTTCCCTCAAATTCTTGATACGAAAAATTCTTGAATTTTTGTTTGCTTTCTGCGATCATCCATGTATTTTAGGACAAAAAACAATTGCAGATATCACTGCCCCATGTACATGAATAGTCCATAATCAAAATGTGTGTCTTCCAGTATGCTCATTCTCATTCTTCAGAACTGATTCTTAGGAAGACAAGCTCCATGGGAAACAGTTTGCAGGACTTCTAAGCACGCCAGGCTTCACGCATTATATAAGATTTAGAATGAACTAAATTCAAATTAAAAGTACTCAGTACAGCAGCTGATACAAAATTTAGTTATTTTTAGTAGAAACAAGGAGAAAGCATTGTGTTCATTCTTACTTATTTCCTAAGCGTTGCCTTTCTTCTCTATCATATTCCCTATTATATTTTGCTTAATCTGACTGGTATTTCTCAGGTATGCATGATTGTATGATGTTCTAATTCTATAAGTAAAAAATTGCAAACAGGTTAACTTGCTTTCAATTTCTAGAGAAGTAAGCAATTTATTTTCTGCAACAGGATTTCTTCAAAATGTTTAAAAGAAATAGAAAGCACAAATTAAAGGAATATATCTAGATGAGAGAGAGTTTAATCTGGCTACTCTTTGGTTTGATGTAATTTAAGAAAACTCTTAGGTGTCAAATTGTTGTCCCTCCAACAGTTGTTGTCTAGGGAAGGAAGAGAGCCACTGAGAGAAACATGCTATATTAGTATTTTCTCAACAGACAAAAAATTGTGAAGACAGTCCGCATGTATAACCTTGCATAAAAAATGATCTATGAAGCACATTGTATCAGGACTGGAATTGTATGTCATCAGAAGTAAATTATAGTAAAAGATAATTTGAATGCAGGGTATTGTGTATATTATAATCTACAGTCTTGTGCATCAGTTTGGCATTTTTTATATTGTTTACTTTTTTGAAATATGCCTTAAAACCATGAAGTTCTTTAATAACTATATGTATATTTGAGTATGAAACTGTAATTGGGTCTGTTTCCCTCCTCCAGCTATTGATAGGCTATGAAAATGGGACTGTAGTATTCTGGGACTTACGATCTAAAAGAGCTGATTTGAGAGCTTATTATGATGAGGTAAGCAATTTCCATTAATTCATAAATACTGTTATTCAGCAGTTATATTTCTTACCAAACAGATGGAATTTTGTCTTAAAACACTGTGTGTTCTCGAAATACTGTTTGTGCTCTGTTTTTGGGCAATACAAATCAAAACTTGAGTTCTCTGGCTGTACTACATTAGCCTCTTTTGAGTATAATACAACACGGAGTCACTTTCCCTTAATTCTAACAGATTCATTTGCTTCTTCATTCCCTAATTGAACAGAATGTAGTAATGAGCTGACCTGCAATATAGCTACATAAGAAATGTTATTACTGATACTGAATATTACTAGAACATCAACTAGAATGAAAGTCAAATTACTTTGTAGGGCTTTCTGTATTATCCAGTAGTCAAAATCTACACAAAAAAATTTCAGAATTGTATTCTCACTTTAATCAGAATATCAACTCTTGCTGTTTGAAAGCATATTATATCAAACATGGGTACAGTTACTGTAATAATAAAAAGTGTTTAAAAATATATATATATTCCTATTTTTGATTGTTTCTCTTACTGCCTTATTAGATGGAAGGTGTGTACACATTCATGAAAACTGCATTAAAACTGAACTTCAGAGTTAAAATTCTGATCCTGCACACAGCAAATGTTCTACTGACAGGGTAATTATGAGTTTAAACAGGACAGCATTTAAGCCTCAAGATATATCCCAGTATAACTGACAGTCTATCTGTGTATACACTTGGGAAAATACAGCGTTCTATTCCTTGAGACTGGATAAACCTTTTCACAGGTCTCCTCATAAGGTAGGGTGCGTGTTCGTACACTGTCCTCTCTTGTGCTCAAGAAGAGAGAACATAAAATAGGGCCGTTACAATCCTGCTTCCTTTCTTTTTAATAGCTTGCTAAGTCAGAGTTATTGAGTGCTGAAAATTTCTTACAGTTTAATTGTTTCACATTTTTCAGAACTGTTCTCAGGAATTATTTTTTTCTCATTTTGTAAGTCACATGCTTCCCTCCTCAGTGGTTACTTGCTGTGTCATTGTTCCACTCTGTGCAACTTTCAATGGCTTTCCATTGTCTGCTGATATATTTGAAAGATTCTTTTGCCGTCTTTACAGGGATGTGTGAACTTGCAACTTGTGCTTTCTTCCAGACTTGCTCCAGATTGAAAATATTCCAGATCTGCTACGATTCCTGTAGGAAATCTCTAGAAAAGGTTTATGTTACAATACTGATTTATAAAGGTTTTATAAGTCATAAATTATTAGTTCAGCATGTGCCAGCTAGTATTTGGCACCATAACGTAGGATTGCAAACATAAGATTTATCATAGATATTTGTCAGAGCTGATCGTTTGGACATGTTCCAGGAAATTCAGGAGGATCACCCCTTTCCTATCCCAAAAGACAGCGCATGTCACTTTACTTACTAGGAGCTGCGTCTTGAGCTTTATCTTCAGCAAGGAATTCTCATGTCGTCACTCCATGGAGTGCCATTTTGACTCCACCTCATAGTGGTGACACTATGCCTTGTCACCAGTGTCATGGTTTTGTGGCTTGTTATAGGTATTCCAAAACATAACACCATGTATTGTTCTGGAAGTTAGAGAGTTAATGCTGCAGTTCCATGGATTGTCGCTATTCCGTTTCCTGGTCTCAGAAGAGAAGAATGAACTGCAACTCCCAGAAGACTTCACTGTTCCATTTCTATTTTCTGTTCAGAGGGAATGATAAACCTGACTGAGAGTCACAAGACTGCTCCCACCATCTGACCTACAGCATTAGAGTAAGGACTTAACCTTTAGAAACTCTCTCTCTCCCATTTTGTTTGCTTTATTGGCTTCAATTCCAATCATACTGTATTGTACTATCTCACATTCTGCTATTATATTTAGTGAATCAAGTTTTTTCCCTTAGCTCTTTGCCACTGTTTCTCTCATCTATGCCCATCTTCCTACCTTTTTTCCCTTTCCCCCTTTCCCAGCCCATGGGTCCATGGGTCCCTTCAGATGCTGTCATGGAACCAAGCCATTACAGCCAGTAATGATGCAATCGAGGAAACTGTCACCTGCAACCTCATGTTGGTTCTGTAGGTCCTGATAAACTTGAGTACAGCGTTCTTTCTGTTCCTGTGTGAGAATTCATATTGGACCCACCTGCCACACATTTTGCAGTATTACAGTGTTGCCACCATAGTTTCCAGTGCATTGAAGCCGATATTCTGCTCTGTACACAGTCCCCTGGTCATAACCTGCCAATTCATGTGGCTGAACTGATTGAGATGTACTTCGTTTTGTGATGTGACAGCTGTACATGACTGTCCAGAACATGGCTTGTCTTTCATATTGCCCCTCCTGAAACACACACAAATTCTTGGTGCTTGCATTCACTGTTTGGTGTCAGCAGGTTCTTTTGTCTTTTTTTTTTTTGTGCATGGAAGAATTCAGCTACACACCTTTGCTCCATATGCACTTCCTGTCAGACACCATTTTGTCATCTGTTGCCATCTGTTGCATGGCAACAAAATTGAATGGAGAATTGGCAGAAAGGTTCAACCTCCACTGTCATACCAGCAACGTATGCCTCTGACATTGTGGGCCAACACAATAAAATGGGATGCATTACTTTTGGAGCAGGCCCCCTACTTTCTTTAGCAAGTTTGAAGCTAATATAGTCACCATAATGAATGAACAGTGAGTCTGATCTAAGTCACCATATGTTCTTCCAGCGTTGCTGAGGATAGTCAGATAGCACTTTCTTTATTTGATTAATCAATGGAACAACTACTTCAGTTTAATACCAGAAATTCTCCTGGAAACTGACTTCTCCATTATGAGCCCCTTTGTACTTATAGTGTGAAATAGATTTTTTTGTTGTCTTTGATGCACCTGAATTTTCATCACCAAGGCCAGTTCTTTCTCAGGTAGATATCCAGCTTGGTCATGTCACCCAAAATAGAAGTACACACCCTCAAAACTCCATCCTGATACCCTTTCACGGGATCCTCAATCATGTTGGATTTCTGTCTCCATAGACCTGCTGAGAAGCAGGCTCTTCGTTATTCAGATCAAGTAAAATCACTTGCTGTATAGCATAGGGACAAGAATTTAATAGCAGATATTTTTGATACTGAAGTAGAAAGTAGGCTGGTAACTGATTATGCATCCACAAATCTAAATACTCCTTTTTTCTAAGTTCAAGATGAGAACTACTTCTGCAGTCAGTCAGTTCTTAGAGTGGAGAATAATTTCTTATCTCATGACATTGAAGATGCCTTGTTTTGTATGGCCATAAGAAATGCTTCCATGTCATTATCAGTGAGAAGCATTCTCTAAATGTCTCTTTCATTTTTTTTCATTATATTGAGTGCTATTTTTAAATTTGTGTCTTTAGAAGTAGTGGACACTCAGCTCAGATTGAACAAGTTTCCTTTCTTTACATGCTTGAACAGTTGGTTACCAAAAGCATTAAAAAGAGATAATGATTCTTAGTGTCCCGTAGCACATCATTGTGAAATCTTACCTATCCTTTCTAAGCTACACTGTATTCTTAACACAAGTATGATGCTTCATATCACACGAGTCTTGCAGATTTGGATATGTGTCATGTTGCAGGTATCTCCTCAGAGCATGGATAATCTTATGACTGGGAGATGAGTTGCTTACTATATTATCAAGATCTGTCCAGTACTTGAAGAAATATATCCTTTCATTTTCCTTCCATCCAGATTGATGTCATGGACACGGCTGACTTAGACAACACAACAGCCTGTAACTGGGGACATGAGGACCCTGTCCCTGGTTCACAAACCTGTAATTGAAGCATTCATAATTGTGTTTTCTACTGTATCTTAGTTATGCCATACTTCATATCAAGAAGGCTGGAAACCTTTCATACATAAAACGTCTGCTTATTTCATATGAGGGAGGTTCTCACCAAGGGTAGGAAAGGCCGTATTGCATTATTGTGAACTTCTCTACTAGGTGTTTTTGTAAGCCTTGCATCTTCCCTTTAAAGCTTCTCTCTGCTACTTATGTTCTACTCACTAGAGATAAAATTAGTCTTATCTCTCTTTTAGCACAGCTGAGATAAGCCAGAAGTTGTCTCGGCTCATCAGCTCCTTATGCAGTGTGCCCTTCTCTACTATGTCAAATCTCAAGAGACTAAGATGTTTTCACTTGTGAAACACCTAATGCCAAAGTGGAGCTGCTGCTTAGACTCTTGTGCCCGCTCTTTGAGTTGTCAAGCGCAAGTTTGTTTCTTGGTGTAATTATGATTGTCATCTTCCCAGTAGTAATCATATCTATTGAGTATGAGCTATTCAGATGCTTGCAAACCATTTTCTTTATTCTGTCAAAAGTTGTTGTTTTTTTTTTTTCTCCATAGATCAATATGAAAGAGAGTACACAAGCAAGGCAGATGCTTCAAAATACCCACAAATTATTACTGATAGTTGGCAACTCTCAGAAAAAACAACCATCTTCTTATGCAGACTTCAAAAGTTTGACTGGCTGTGTCAAAGCATATTCAGAGCCTTCTGTAGCATAGATATTATATCTCATTATGACATGTCTCCAGAACAAAGCTGCAGAGTTCTCAGAGACATTTCCCAAATGACATCTCCCTTCCCACCTTTCTCAAACACTGTACCATTATGGAAACATCAAATCTGATGCAATGGTCCTGCAGTACTGCTAATACAAAGGATTCTAAAGGTTTAAGTGATAGGATGAGTATGGTGCTTGTTCAGACTATGGTTAAAAGTGGTCCTTGAATATCCGTCATTTCTTCTCAGTGGAGGAATTCTGTACTTGGGAGACAACTGCAACAGTGTTGAGTATGCCTAGATTTAGTACATGCTGAATATAAGAGAAGATGGAGTGTATATGCAGCCGCTGTTGATACTACAGGAGAGACATACCCAGTCTGGAGTGATATGTTATGTGTATATGCTGTGTGAACATTCATATGAGTCGTCTACTGCGATAAACTCTTGTTCTAATGAAATAACAGCTCAGTTTTTTTGAGGTTGCTAAAGAAGTAGATCAGAACACTAGACATATTCTTGCAGAGAGAAAATTAGGGACTTGTTTAATGCCCTACCATTTAGTGTTAGTCGTGACTCCCATTTGAGACCTCCAAAACAAATCCTAAGTATTTCTTTACCTTTGTGGAGCAATCTATCAGGTGAGTTTGAGCTGTGTTGTAACAACTCTCTGTGACTGCTGAGAAGCATTTCTTCTCAGCTCCACTTAACAGGAGACTTATGTTGGCAGGTGGCACATAACAGCTGAGATAGTTTAACCAGCAGCTTGGTACAGTTTTTTCCTGCTAGTTACTAGCCCTGCTTTTTAGCTTGTTAGATACAATTGTGAATGTTACCGTTACTCATTTTAAGTGTCTAATCCCTTTTTTAACTTCTGATATCTTGTGCCCATCAGTTCCCCTAATTATTCATGAAACACCAAGAACATCTGATTAATTTTTGAAGCGTTCCCCTTTGCTATATGTAAAATTCAATATATTCTATTTGCATTGTGTACACAGGAGTGTGATATTCCCCTTCTCTGACGCACTTAGGTTTTCCAAAATAATCTTATATCATTCCTTTATGAACAAAACAACCCCTCTCTGTCATTTTGTTTTTATGTGATGCATAAGAGGTTTCAAGGTTCTTTCTCTGAAACCCTGGTATGTGGTGGTAAAAAGATTCAACAACTGATAACTATTTCTACTTTTTCTAATACATCTTCTTAGAAAGCTTGCATCTGTTGTATGCTATCAGTAAACCCCATTGCATAGCATTCCCATACATTTGGGAAATAAAATACTTCAAAGGAACAATCAGAAATATTTATTGTGTTGCATATTCCTTGTTTGTATACCTTTTACTTATTATCCTGTTTCTTCAATTTTGATCTGATTCAGTAGAGTTTCTCCCGTTCTTGTACCCTGTTAGCATTTATAACGGATTGTTTTGTGAATTAGTGTAGATTATAGCTATTGGTTACTAAAAAGTGCAGTTAACAGACTCTAGACAAACAAAATTCATCCAACTGTTGAAATACAATTAGATAAATATAATTCAAAGTCACATATTAAAATTTCATTAGTGTAAACAGTGTATTGCTTTTCACTCTCAAGTTGTTCATTCATTTCCATAGGCTATTCATTCTGTTGCTTGGCACCATGAAGGGAAACAGTTTATGTGCAGTCACTCTGATGGAAGCCTGACCTTATGGAACCTGAAAAGTCCTAACAGACCTTTCCAGACCACAATCCCACATGGTAATTTTGATAGTAAAAATGTACAGTAAAGTAGTGCAATATCTCATTGTTTACTGGTGTCTTTATTGTTGAAAAAAAAAAAAAAAAGGCAGGGACTTTCCAAAGTAAGAAAAACAAAATTGTTTTGGATTTTTGTTATTGTTTACAAGTGACTTTTCTCTAAGCCAGAACAAAGAACCCATGATTTTAAAATGTATTTTTTATTTAATTTTCTTTTTCAACTAACTGTATTGGGAAAAAAAATAAGCTTTTTATGCTCATCCTTGATCAGGAAAAGGTGTACTGTCAGTGAAATTCAATAATTATTAGCTGAGTGTAATTATTTTCATATTTTTGAATTGTTATCTGTAATCCTTCAGACATACATAGCAGTAAAAACTTAAAGCTATAATAAATGTAAACACGCATATTTTAGGGAAATAGGCATTAATACTTGCCATTTCACGTAGCTTTAAAATTCCACTCTTTCTGATTATGTAACTGCTTCAAGGTGTGTATTTTAGTTTGAAAGTTTGATTAGTTCTATTATCCTGATGTTTTAATACAGTTTCCATCCTCTTTTTCCTTAGGAAAAATTCAAAGAGACGGAAAAAAACCTGAATCCTGTAAACCAATTCTTAAAGTGGAGTACAAAACCTGTAAAAACAGGTATGTTTCAGTGTTACATTCGTGAATTAATACACTCTGAATCTTTCCTTTGTCTTTTTTTGCAAAGCTATTTAAGATATTAAAGCTGTTAAGACATTACACCTCTAATGTAAACTTGTTACGTAAACTTATGATTACCATGTTTTTATATTTAATACAGTGAACCATTTGTGATATTTTCCGGTGGGTTGTCATATGATAAGGCTTGTCGAAGACCAAGTCTAACGATTATGCATGGGAAAGCAATTACAGTTCTTGAAATGGATCATCCTATAGTTGATTTTTTAACTCTTTGTGAAACCCCGTATCCAAATGGTGAGTTCATTAAGCAAAATAGAATTATACAAAGTATAAATGAACTGAACTTCTCTAATATCTGAATTCCTGTCCGGGAACTTCCATTCTTACAGTCGTCTCCATCTCAAAAATCCCCTATTGCTGAAAGTAACTGAAACTTGTTTTGGATTCTGAACATAAAAAAGACAAGTAATTAGTGGGAAACAAAAAATGCATAAATTTCAAGATACGCATTTGAAACATGGGCTAGTGTGAAATACTATTATTCTTAATCAAACATAAGTGCTTATGTATCTTAAAGTGTTTCGCTACATATTGTGAGACTGCCAAATGCTGAAGTCACAGAAAATTCTGGAAAGTGAAATTAAGAAAGCTGCAAGTAAAAAAGAAGCTAAGTTTCTCTTTTTAAGCCCTCAATCAGAAGAGTAAAGTAAGTCTTTTATACAATGATAAATCAAATATGTATTAAAAAAACAACTATTTGTTTTAATGTCATGCAATAAAAGTAATTTTCAGTAATCAAAGTTAATTTGCAGTTCTTTCTGTGCAGAGTTCAATTTAGGTATTTCACTCTCACTGTGTCTGCAGCACAACTGTATTATGTGAAGCACTTGTGCTGTCATCAGAGTACTCCTATCATGCTGTTTCTTTAATTCTCCTTGTTACTGTTAAAATGAAGATATAGAGAAGACTTCTTGTAATCTTCCTTTCAGATTGCTTTGGAAACAAACACACTGTATATCAAGTGGACTGGACTAGCTGTCTACAGTCTGTTTTTAAGGAATAGTTTTGAATGGAAAAAGTATTAATGCTGGGCAGCAAAAAGGTCATTGTCTGAGTAACAATTGGATTCAACAACGCCATAATACACACAACCTCCTCACATTCTGTTACTTTCAGTGTTCCATCATGCTGGAATACTACATTATGCCTTTAGCAATTGGACAGATCAATACAATAGAAAAGGCATTACAGCAAGGGTGCAATGACTTAAGGACTAGCACAATAGAGAGGTGCTGTGAAAGAACCTGTATCAGACAAACCCAGGTTCCCAGGGATAAGCTCCACCAAGGAAGGATTTCCAACCAGAGATCCTTCCCCTGTGGCAGTTAGCCCTTAAATGGGGTCTAAGAGAGGTGCAGCCAGGCTTCACCCCTTCTGGTCACACAGCTGAATTGCCTTCACCTGTGCTCCCAGGGCTGAGCCAGTCTTTTCCCCAGGTGATCAATCAGTGGTTCAGGCTGTGATTCAACAGTTTCCATACAATGCCAGTACTGTTTCTGTCATGTATGTTAATCAGCAGTTCTGCCTGAAAGTCATTTCTTTTCTTATTTCCTATTTGCCCCTAATCAAATGCTTTCTAGATTTTGTTTAATATACTGTAAATATTTAGAGAACATAAATGTGACTAGCATGCTTAAAGTGACTAGTGGAAGAATTTGTTGTTTTTTATACCTGATTCCTCTCTTACAGAATTTCAAGAACCTTATGCTGTAGTTGTGCTTTTGGAAAAAGATCTCATTGTTGTTGACCTGACACAAAGCAAGTAAGTATAAAATCTTATGTGAAGTTATGGATTCTTCTTAACTTTAGAATTTGATGATTAAAAAAAAATCCGAATGATATAATGGAATGTCATTTTACTGCACAAAACCACTCAGTCTATATGCTTACTTCCACCTTAAAAGCTAGGATCAAAAGCTGATCAATAGAAGCTTGCTTTTGAGTTTGGGAATAAATCTAAATCTACAGTCCCTTCAGTATAGCCCTCAAACACAGCATCAAAGTTAAGTGATTCATGGACAATTGCTGAATTACAACCTGAATTTTCATGTTAGAAATTACACTCAGCTAGCGCCTGTATGCATGTCTAACTTCACTGGACTCCACCAGGACTATCACTTATGTATTTACTCAAGTATCTCAGTAAATAACAGCACTGATTTATGTGGATCTATGGGATTCCTTCATGATCCATTTGTTGTTTTAAATGATACTTTTACATCAAAATCAGTATTCTTATATATCATATAATGCAGGATGTGATTCTTATTTGTTTTGTTCTGTGTCAAAAAGTGCATCCACATTCACACTGGTATAATTAAGAACAGAATTGTTCTGTGAAGATTTGAAACATTTTTCCGTAAATCATGTTCTGACCTCATTCACTTTCAAGAGTAATTCCTATCATCTCAGCAGTATAAAATGGATGCAAGTGAAATGAGAACCAAATCTCTTGCATTTTTGAATTGTGAATAACATTGTGTAATCTGCCAGAAATGAGGCCTTATTTCTTTTCAGATAGTCCAAACTGATGAAAGTGGGAAGAAAACTGAAATCGACTTCATCTGTTAATGCAGTTGTTCGCTGTAGAATCAGTAGTAGATCAACACAATGAACAGAACTGTTAAATATAAAATCTGCAGTTGAATAGTTAATTCTTGGGTCACGGTATATATCATATGAGTGAACCTGAAGCTTCTAGAAAATATATGATTTCTGTATCTCATAAATGAGATTATGAGATGCTGAAAAAATTTATAAAAAAAAACGGATTATTGTCACAGCACAGGAATTTGTACATCGTTGAAATTAGAAGTTTCTACTGACATTAAAAACAATATGTATGTTTTAAAAAATAATGAAAAATGTACTTTATGGGTAATTATTCTACTTAGATTGTGTTATATACTTTCTAATATGAATATGTTCTTACATGGCTCAGTGTGTCACCCTGCTTCTAATAAATTGTCTTCCTTGACTAGTTTTCCAATCTTTGAAAATCCATATCCTATTGACATTCATGAGTCACCTGTCACCTGCACAGAATATTTTGCCGACTGTCCTCCAGATTTGATTCCTGTACTCTATTCTGTAGGAGCAAAACATAAAAAGCAAGGATACAGCAATAAGGTAAACAAAACCAGTATTTTTCGAGAAAGAAAACACATGTACTACCCGTGTCTTTGAAATATCTTACCAAATTCTTTTCATTTTACTTCTTTAATAACCAATTTCAAGTTAGTCCAGCCTGCAGGTTAGATGCAGCTTTCCTTCTGTGATTTCTTATGGCTTGATATTCATCTTTCAGTAATATCTACCATCACTGAACCATAAGCATTAAGCCGCCATTATGCAGAAATTCATCATTAGGCTGCTGGAATTATGTGAGATCAGACTGACTTAAAAGAATGTCATCAATGTAAAATTTGAATTTGTCTGAAAATGTTATCTGTACCGAAGACAGAAGTAGTGTATAAAATGATTATAATGCAAAGCAGAAGATCTTTGGTGGAATTTGAAGGTTGACAGCATTCCATTAAATAAAGATATTGGTTATTCTATTGAGCTACTGTAGTCTTAATGTAAGGGTTTTAGAAATAACGCAAGCTGCAGAAATGAAAATAGGGAATTGATTTACTTTATACATTTCAAGTATTAATTTAGTTTATGTTTTGCTTAAAACTAATCCATCACAATAAATAAATAAGAAAAAATGTTGAGTGAGCAAATTGGGCATCAGTTTTCTTTTTATATTTAAATAATAGTTTTCCTTAGAGCTGCCTTGTTTTCCTTGAACTGAAAATCTGGGCCTTATATACTTCTTTGAGATCTTAATTCAGCCAAGTACTTCAGAAAATGTTTTTTTCTCTTACTAGAATTTGTCTGCTTATTTATCCTAAATTTGCATACATAGTTGTCTAAAAATTTCACTGCGTATCTATCTGTACTCCTTATAAATTCTCAATACAACTTGCTTTATTTGTGCATGCACATGATAAACATGCAGAATATAGATAGCCATTCCCACTCACTCCTTTCTGTACTCACATGCATCCTCTCTGTGCATTCTCAGAACCAGTTTTCTCCTAGATTTTTCTGTCCTCTCATACACTGTACAAATCTTTACTCACTCTGTACCTGTTCTCAGCAAGCTTTAGGCACAGACCACCATTTTTTTCAACCAGCATAGACCAAGGAAAAGAATGAGAGTCTTTCCACTAATAAATAAAAGGCAAGGAAAAGATGATGATTTCATACAATCTGTGAAAGTTGCATTCCCTTATTTCATATCCCCTAGCATGATGCTCAGTTTCTTGTTTCCCACTTTTCTGGGCCAGCTTCTTCAGTAGTCTCCATCCTCAGAATGGAATCTCAGTTCTAATCAGCATCCTATAGAAGCTCCAATGTGAAAACAGTAGCAAAAGTGTTTACTACTCCTTCCTCTACTTCCTGTTTTGAATGTTTGCAGTGTTAGCTATGTAATAATCATTAAAAAAGATAGAACTTTAGTTGTTAAAGTAAATTAAAAAAACAACAAAAAACAAAAACAAAAAAATCCTTAAAGAATTAATTTGTAAAATGCTAATAAGCTTTAAAAGCCTTGAATGGTACACTATATTTTCACTTCTTTTTTTAGATGTATTGCTTTTTGGAAGAAGACATTGTCTGCTCTTAAGTCTAAAAATTAACCAAGCAAAATTCATCAGGATTAGCTTTGATCTTTATGCACTTGTTGTTCATTTAGGAGTGGCCTATCAGTGGTGGAGCATGGAATCTTGGAGCTCAGACATATCCTGAAATCATTATTACAGGGTGAGAATGAAACTGAGGATTTGTTCTTTTAAAATGTTAGTGTCTGGAACTTTTAATTGTGGGTTGTCTGTGGGCAAGTGTTGATTCTTCACATGGTATGTGTGTCCTAACCTCTTGTGTTGAGGTATGTAGCTTTTGTTTTGGGTGTAAAATCACCACAGAAATTCCCATTTACTGTAGAAAATAGAGCCTTGGGTTCAAGGGTGTACTGCTGTTAAGAATTACTGATTGAGGCCCCGGTGTTAGATGGCAAGTCTACTTGTGAAATCAGCTTGTGAAGGTGGAATCTTTGAAAAAGGGAATTCATTGCAATCCATTTATTTGTTTGAAGGCCATGAAAAGGGATCCAGCTGTTTTTCTATGTCTGTTGTCCTTGGGCCTTCTGGGGATTTTGTATCTTTGGATGATTTAGGAAGTCATTTTAATACCATATCATTAGTGGAGATGTGTTGCCCTGGGATTATTTCAACTTTTAAGTGGTGGACAGTCCCATAGAAAAAGGCATAAAAAGGCTCCGAATTGCAGTAGAAGCCCTAAGACCAATGCATGATGGACTTTCAAAGGGACATCCTGTAGAACAGAAACTCTTAAGCTTTCTTGTATGATACACTCCTATTTTTCTCTGGTCTCAGGCATGCTGATGATAACAGTATATTTGATAAATTGTTGTAATCAATGATACTTAAAACCTGTTTTATGGTATGTGCAATAGTATCAGTAAGGAGAAGAAGAAATTATTGTAAACAGAAGTGTCTCCTTTCTGCAATTATATTTCAAGGTTATTTCCCATTAATAAAAAGAACACAGCTGTTAGGTGCTAAGCAGAATGAACTTGACCTCTGACTTTTCAAAAGTTGGATATACGTGGCATTTTTAGAGTTCTTGGGCTTATGTGCTTGATACTTGTGCACTGCAAGGCCAGAAGTTCTTCATCATAAACTTGTCATTAGTAAGTGAATTAATTTTGTGCTGCTGTGATCTTAAAAATTGTAGTCAGCTTAGTTCTCTATAGGGATTTTATCAAAAGGTATTCATCAATCATATTAATAATAAAATATTTCCTTATTGTTAGTAGATACACCATCATATATTGTCATTAAAGTATGGAGAAGCTTAACACAGAAGCAAAATACAGTTTTTCCACTCTATTTATCACTCAGTGAAAGCAGAAAATGTTCTTTAAATGCATAATGTTTTAACACATTTAATTTTATTTTTTTTTTTAAGCCATGCAGATGGATCAGTAAAGTTTTGGGATGCTTCTGCCAGTAAGTTTTTGAAGTTCACTTTCATACAATGCTGAAAAGTCACACATAAACACACATGTATTTACATGTAATACGTGATGTGTTACAGTATGAATACTAGTATCTATAATGCTGTAACTAGATTATGATCCGGTGACATTAAGCAACTTCGATTAAATTAGGAGAAAAATACTATTAATGGAATATTTTAAGCAGAGAAGAGGTGGAAGTCCAGGATAGGGATAAAAACTTTAGATCTGATGTACCAAAACCTAGGAAGAATGAAGTACTGTTAAATAATTCCATAGGCATAATCCTATTGTGTATATAAAACAGTAAGCTGAAATAGCCCCAGTGATATAATGCAGTCTTTTTTACAGCTAGATAAAAACAAAGCATTAAAATATAGTAAGACATCTTAGTTAAAGACCTGCATCTTTACTTGTCCAGTCTCAAATTCCAGGAATTAATTGGGATGAACATTTCCATTCATCCTAGCAGGAAAAAAGCATCAGAAAATAGTTATTCCATGTGTTTTAGTTTTAATTAAATGTATCAGAGAACAGCATTTTTCCCTATAGAAAATACATCTGGTGCTTATTATTAAAATGTATTTATTAAAAATACACACATGGTTTTGTTGAAAGCTATGGTATTTCGTTTCAAATAACATCTCTGTGCTTCATAAATGCTGCAGCATAGTTAGTTGCCTTGTATTCTCTCTCTTCAGTAATATTGGGTTCTCGGGATAAAACATCTCTTTCATGAGTTAACAGTCTCTTCCCATTTCCTGAAGAGGTGAGCATGAAAGAAACTCTTATCTGAAATGCTAGACATAGAGAGATTTTGTTTGACCCTAATAAACAGTCTGATATGATGATAATACTGACTATACTGATACTTAAAGTGCCTGCTGACTCGTCATCCCACCACATAATGGGCATGATTAATGCTATTATCATTTCTAGCCAAAGATGGAGAACATTTATGATACTTTAATGTAAGATAAATTTCATGAATTTGTCAAATATTTCTGTTTTTGCCCAATACCAAATCTTTTCACTCATCAAGATTATCAAAGACAAAATGAGACTCCATTTCTTGTTTAAAAAAAAAAAAAAAAAAGATGCATCTTTCTTAGAGTTTCTTTCTAGAGTTTGCATCATGCAGCATTTTCAAGCTATAATGATTACCAAAAATAAAAGAATTCTAATGAGGACAAGAGAATGAGGAAAGGAAAAAAATAGAAAAGCTTCTCAATGGATATAAACATAACTCTCTAACATGTATATATCTGCTGTAGTAGGAGCTGTTCATAGAGGTAAAAGTTTAGATAAGGAAGAATATTCATGGATCTCTTTAACAGTAACAAAACCCTCCATGCATTTCTGACATCCTTAGTCCTGCTTTTCAGAACATTTACAGTATTACTGGTACCATACTTAATACTTACAATTTATAAAGCTTTAATTATTACAAAGCTTTACAATGTCTTAGCTTTTGAAACAACATTTAAATTTAATTTGAGGACTCACGTCAAACATTATATCCTGCTCTTATTTGAAGGAACAAAGTACTTTGCTTTTAGTCATATTTTAATTTTAATCTAAAAATATAGATATTTGGGAGACAGGCAAATGCTAAGCCACTGAAGCAGTTTTCCAAGTTTATCTTTGCACAAAATATGTATCAGTGGTGCCTAATAATTCATAGAAGTGTAAGGCATGGAATCTTGCCTTGTACTTGTGCCGTGTGATTCTGTAATTCTTCCTGTCTTAGTACGTGTGGACCCAAGAAGTCTGCCCCTAATTCACACTGCCAGTCTAAATTTGACACTGAGATCAAGGGCATCTTGAGGCCTTTCCACCACCACAAAACTCAGTAGAATGATGTGTTCATTACAGAAGCACTTGCTGCATTTGTGAAAGTTTATAATCATTGAATTTCTCAGGTTCAAAAGGACCTTAAAGATCATCAAGTTCAACCACAGCCTAACCATACTACCCTAACTCTAACAACCCTCCACTAAATCATGTCCCGGAGCACCACATCCAAATGGTTTTTAAACACATGCAGGCATGGTGACTCAACCACTTCCCTGGGGAGATACCGTGTATATTAAGATTCCTAGAAGTATACATGACCAGCAAACAGAAAATGTAATTTTGATGTATTTGCTATCTGATTACATAACTAGAAGGCTCTTCCATCTTGTCATTGTTTATTGCCCAGGATAGCTGGGTTGATCTAGCACAGTTACGGTAATATATGCAGCAGCTTTACTTTTATGTATATACACACCCTAATAGGTAGTAGCCTGGATGACTTTTTCTGATCTTACACAGTGATTGATTAGTGTGATAAATTCATGCAAAAGTAGTAAGAAAAGACAAGCAAACAAAACAACACACAGCAGAGAGCAATGTCTATAAAGCAAAGTGTGGTTAATTTTAATTCCTATTATCTCCAAAATTCGCAGTATTGCAGACGTACTCTTGAATAAAGCTTCTAGATATTAAAGTTTTTGTAGCCAGGTGTTAATACAGATATGCTTATTAGTCAAGAAAATCAGAGCATCTTCCTTTCAGAAAGACTTTGTCTTGACAGGCCACCAGAATATTTTCCGCATTTTTTCACTTAGAACTCCATACAGTCTTTATAGCAAGACAAAATAAATCTTTGTTTCACATGTGATTGAGAAAATGGAGCTTGAGTGTAAGCCTAGTTATGGACGCACAACTAATAATCACCTTTTACATTCTGCTTCAGAAGCTAATAAAAAGTGTTTCACAGACAAATATCCATTTGTAAATATTAAATACATAATCCTACTGGTACTGATGTACCAGTGTACCAATATAAAATCTGTACTGTATAATACCCATCTTTTTCTCTTCTTAGGCCTTATATAATTCTTTGTTGTGCTACCACTGAAAAGAACATGGGAACTGAAGAATTTTATAACTGATTAGCTTATGGTTAATCAGGTTTTTCTGTTTGTTTTAATATATTCCAGTTACACTGCAGATGTTGTACAAATTAAAAACATCAAAAGTCTTTGAAAAACAGAAGCCAGGGGAAGGAAAAGCAACAGCTGAGATTGTGGAAGAAGACCCTTTTGCAGTTCAAATGATGTACTGGTGTCCTGAAAGCCGAATTTTCTGTGTGGCAGGAGTTTCTGCGTATGTGGTTGTTTATAGATTCAGCAAACATGAAGTAAATACTGAAATTGCGGTAAGTCATTCAGAATTTTACTTGTTTATGAAATAACACCATCTCTATGAAATGTGAAAGATGAAACTGACTTCTGTGCCAGTGTACAGCTGCATAAACACAGATTTGGGAGTATTCCATTTAAAACCTTTTGAATGAAATATTGATTGTACTTAAGATGATGATAAAAACTGAGTGAGGTTTTGGGATCCAGCTCTCTTGTTTTTTACTTTAATAGTAACGTACCATAGGATGGTTGTCTGATGTAGCTCACTTCTAGGACTTCAGTACAGTACATCTCTGTTGTGCTTAGTGCTCTTGTGGTACTGACTGATGTATGTTTTTCCTATATAACATTACTCAGGTCAATTATTTCATATCTTCGGTTTATTTTCATAAAATTTGTAATAAAAGGGGACTGAAAATTATCAGTCGCTTTAATAAAACAAAAGGAGTTAATTTTTTTTTCTGGCTTATATTGACTTTGCTTCCCTCAAAATGGACATTATTTGAAAAACAAAGTGATTTATGTCTAAGTAGTTGATATTTTCTTAAATATCTTGAGCTTCAATCCTATTCACATACTCCTTTTTCAGTCTTCATGTCTTGAGCAGTCACTTCATTTCAGATAGAATCACACAGTTCATGTTCTTTTAACTGCTCTACAGTCAGCTGGTACTTACTCATCATACAGCAAGTTAAACTTTAGTTTAAACCTTGCATTTCTGCACAGTAGTGACAACCACTTCTAATAGACTGGTTCAACAACACTTCTAAGATATTCTTTCATTCGTCTAAAATATTCAACAGCAGACAAGTCTTAAGAGAAAGGCAATCTAAATGGGTCTGGAGCATCTCCCTTACAAGGAAAGGCTGAGAGACCTGGGTTGTTTCAGCCTGGAGAAGCGAAGACTGAGAGGGAATCTTATCAATGCTTATAAATACGTACAGTGCAGGAAGCAATTAGATGAGGCAGACTCTTTTGAATGATGTAATGATAGGACAAGGAGGAAACACCAAAAAATGGATCATAGGAAGTTCCACATAAATATGTGGAAGAATTTTTTTACAGTGAGGGTATTTTAATGTCCTTTAAAAAGGCTGTAATTCTAGCCTGACAAAAACGTCTGTGTCACTGTACAGGAGCGTTTGTTGGAATATGTACCTGACTTTACATTCAATAGTTCTGTCTATACTGAAAATGAGTTTGTCAGTCTCAGGATGTATGTAGATTGCTCCAGAAGTAATGTCTCCTATTTATTTATTTGAAAACTACAACAGATACAAAGAGCACAATAACACTAGTTGATAGAGCAGATTCTCATGTGCAAAACACTCTTTTTCAGTGTGGTCACCACTATTAGCTACGCATTTTCATCAGACAAGAACAAGAGCCTGTATGCCACACTCATAAAAATTTGCACCAGTGGAAGTGACCCACTGTTTCACAGCTGCCACAATAGCATCATTTCTAGGAAAGTGTTACCAGTGCAGTCCATCTTTCCTCAGCCCAAACAGATGGAAGTCAGAAGATGCCAAAACTGGACTATGCAGTGGATGGGGTAGGCACATTGCCAATGTGCTCCACAGTCTATGGAACCTGGTGTTACTGTGTTGCAAGAGAAAAGGGTTCTTCTTCTCTGGCCTGACTCTGGAGGTTTGAGCCTTCAGCTTAATCACTGTCACAGCGTAGAAAGTCAGAGCTGATGGTTTGGACATGTTCCAGGAAATTCAGGAGGATCATCCCTTTTCTATCCCAAAAGACAGTACACACCACTTTACTTATTGTGGACTGACTGCCAGTGGAGAATTCTCATGTCTCCACACGATGAGTGCTCATAGTAATGATGCTATGTTTCATCACCAGTAACGGTATAATTCAGGAAACTCTCACCTATAGTCTTGTATAGGTTCAATAGATCCTGAAAAAATTGAATATAGCATTCTTTCTGTTACTCTCTGAGCATTCATTGAACCCAATTGGCACAAACTTTGCAATATTTCAACATTGCCACTGTCATTTCCAGTGCATTGAAGCCAACTTTCCGTTCAGGAACAGTCTCCTGCGTAGTAATCTGTGGCTGATCTGATTGAGATGGTCTTAATTTTGTGGTGTGACAGCTGTGCATGGCTTGTCTTTCACGTTGCTGTCACCACTGCTGAAATGGTAGCACTTACTGCTTCCATCTTCCTATTGGTGAAGATAATGTCTCAATGAGAGACCATTAAATGAGGAGTTTGCAGTGTATACATTTTCAATTGCATATGATCACTTCAAGAAACCAGCACTGAGATTACTGTTCAGCTAGTATTCCCAAGACATTATCTCTTTGAGGGAATTACCTTTTTTTAAATTGTTTTCAACATGAAGTTCTCCTTGGATAATTCATGAGGTAGAAAGAATTGACCAATATTTACTATGATATTTTGAGATGATTACTTATATAGATTTGAACTCCCTGTACAGTTTCCCATTTGTTTTGGAATTCGTTCAGTTAAGATTTCCTGAATTAGTGGAAAGAGTGGAAGCATGGTTGAGCAGAAAGAAAGTGAAAGATAAGTGGTTTAGACTTTGCATTCTGGAATCTGTCAAACTCGTGTACAATTTAAAGAATATGGAACTCTGTGCTCCTGACCCTGCATGAGGACAGATGGAGTTCATGGGTCACTAGTACCCACTTAAACTTCTGCATACTGGCTAAAAGTTGTCCTTTAGAGATGGTGTTGTAGTTGCAATGGAGAGGAAGCTGATGATCATTCTTTTAATTAGTTGGCTTAGGAAAATGGTAATGAACAATAAGCAGAAAATTTTCATGACATTGACTCTGATGGATGCTTTCTTATGCTAAAATATTGTTTACTTGAGAGCGAGTAATATCTCTTTTCATACTAAGTTCTGGAAAACTGTATTCTTTCACTTATAATAAAAAGCTTGGAACAAAGTCAGTACTGGAAGAATATACTTAATTATTTCTCCATCAGTGTAGGGTAAATGACAAGTTCCTATGCAATTCTACTGTTAGGCTGTATAAAAAACAAATGACTGTATTCTTTACTTGTGAATGATTATGGTACGTGTTTTTTTTTAATCTTCAAGGAAAAAAAAGGCTTCTGATTTTTATTTATAATACAACTTTCAGCTAGCTTTCTTATTAAATTGTGACAGCTTTTTATTTATTTAAGTCACTAGAGGTACGACTTCAGTATGAAGTAGAAGATATCATTACTCCTGAACCGGAAATAATTCCTCAATTTCCAGATGCCTCTTCCCAGCTTCCTTCTTTAAAGAGTCTTTCAGGTAGTACCAACACTGTAGCATGTGAAGGAATGATGAAGGACAGTATCCCGTGTCTTAGGTAAGTCTGCCATTGTTCAAAGCTTCATCTTTCTAGTAAGCGTTCTTGTCAGGTTTTATGATCTGTCAGGTTTTTATGATCTGTTTTATGATCTGTCAACTGTCAAGAAAAGAATGCTAATCGTATTATGTGACACAAATAAAACGAACCAGAATATAGAACAAACAAAAGAATTAAAGCAATGTAATTATCAAGGAATTTAACAGGCTGAAAGTAAGTTATGGTGAAGATAAACCCTTGCAGTGAAGGTTCAACTAATTTTCCAGTGTGATCTACAAGTAATTATTCATCTTGCATCCACAGTTTTTAATGGAACACAAGTGCTATGGAATAGATAATGGAATTTCTGAGAAATTATTTTTTTTTAGTCCACAAAAATATGTAAAGTTCCTTGAGTAATTAGTATAATGCTAAAATCATCATCTGTGAAAGAAGGACGTGCATCTTATTACACACAGGGAAAGGAAACCGTGTTCATACTCTCAGAAGAGCCTTAAAAGTGTACAGTTATGAAACAGTTGCACTGTGTAGAACTGTGTATTTTATGTATTTAACTTTAGGAGGAGACGAACTGTTGTCTGCTACAGTACACACTGCTACTTTTTGGAGTAAATTAATATATTCTCACACAGATAAAATATAGGTTTAAAGAGTTTCAGAACGGAACTCTGTACAAAACTCCATAAATCATAATTTCAAAAGAATTATAGTGCACAGCTGATAAGTATTGTTCTCATTTAGTGAATTAATTATTAATTCAGTTTAATTATTATTAAATATTTTAAATGTCTCAATTACTTCAAAAGCAGTTTAAATGAACATTGTCTGGTTTGCAGATATTTTCATCAATTTTGCTTCTGAAAATGGCATTAAAATTTAAAAGCAATATTGTGGCATTGTCCATGCATAATTGACTATAGTTTTTGGTCTCCTGTACATTTGTCTTTCTCATTCAGTTAGCAAATGAATCTCAGACATATGTTTAATCATCTATGTGAACCATTAAAATCAATGGAAGAGGCACAGATAAGTTATTTAGTAAATCTCAGTGGGAAACTGTTTTGTGCTTTTGAAATCAGTAAGAATACAATTGATTGTTGCGGTGAGTTCCTTAAAGGATTCTTATTTGATTTAAGGAAGGGAAGGTTTGTTGAAAATCTTATGTTCTAGCATAGTTATGATTAAAAGATGAAATCATAGAATCATAGAATCACCGAGGTTGGAAAAAACCTCTAAGATCATCTAATCCATCTGTCCACCTATCATCAATATTTCCCACTAAACCGTGTCCCTCAGTATAACATCTAAATGTTTCCTGAACACCTCCAGGGTTGGTGACTCACTGCCTCCCTGGGCAGCCCATTTCATCAGCTGACTGCTCTCAGAGAAGAAGTATTCCCTTATGTCCAACGTATTTGAGGTGACATTGGGGCTTCTCCATACCAGACACAGCCAGCTCCAATAGCCTCACTGCATGACATGGCTGGGCCCAACAGCCAAGATGACAGCACCTTGGAGACAAGTGTGAAAGCATGAGATGCACTGTACTCTCCTTTGTTCTTCATGATTTCAGAAAAAAATCAGAGTTAGAGCACTATTTGCTTTGTATGTTTTCTGTTAATGTGCTGCTCACATTATCAAGCTAATAACTTCAGCCATGTTATCGTTTTATAGTTTTGTTTTCTTTTGGTTTTCTATATGCTTTCTCTTCTACAAGAATGATAGATTGCTAGTAGTCAAATTCGCCTCGAAGGCCTCCATCTCATCAGATGCTTTCAGCTGAGCTAAGAACAATCTGCTGGGCATGGTTATTGAATGAGACGCTAAGAACATTTCTCTTGTGAAGAGTGCTTACTTTTTTATTCCCAATAAAAGTTTGTTTCTTTTTTCCGGTCTGATCAACTACCATGTTAGGTGTGTGGACCAAGAATGCTTGGAGAGCTTGCTGAGTCACATCATAGTCATGTTCAGAAGATACTCTCCATAACCAGTCAGCAAAGATCTCACATCTACAATCCAGTGTTGCTTAGGTTATTTACAGCAGTGCTATATATAGAGAAGCACAGAGAGCAGAAATAATTATTTGCCAATAACTGCAATTTTTCTGTCTGTGCTGTCTATGCGTGTATTGACCAGCTACTTCCTCTCTTGATACTACCCACCCTGTAATAAATGAGAGATGTGTAATATATATACTGTCAGTATTTATAGTTAATGCATCTAAAGAATTGCTGTTCTTGCGTAGTATCTTCTATCAGTGTATCATCAAGTAAATTCTACCAGACAAGAACATAAATAGACTTACAGAGTATTGAGTTCTTACACTTTTGCTATGTGCTGTGCAAGTCACTGAATTTGTCGTAACAGAATATGAAAGGGTGTTAATATTTATATTAACAGATTATCAGATTTTATGTAGGAAGCAGTCATTCAGAAAGACTAGATCACGTATGAGGTAATTATACTCCTAAGAAGAAAATAAGAATTGTTTGCACTAGACAGATAAATAGAATTGTCAAGTCCAGAAGTTTCGGATATGCAGTGATGACGTGCAGTACAAAAAGGTGCTGCATCTACCTTCTCTTGCCGTACTTCAGAACAAGATAGTTCCAACAACACAGAAATGTCATCCCTGAGATTTTCAGAAGAAAACCTTCAGGTTTTCCATCTGAGTTGATTATTCATGCCAGTGCAGGTCTGGAACACAGGTCTGGAACACAGGTCTTACGAGGAGTGGCTGAAGAAAATTGGATTGCTTAGTCTGGAGAAGAGGAGGCTTGGGGGAGACCTTATCACTTCGTAACTACCTGAAAGGAACTTGTAGCAAAGTGGGGATCAGCCACTTCTCTCAGGTAGCTAGTGATAGGATGAAAGGTATTGGCTTCTAATTGCACCAGGTGAGGTTCAGGTTGGGTATTAGGAAAAATTTATTCTCAGGAATGGTGAGGAATTGGAACAGGCTGCACAGGGAGGTGATGGAGTCACCATCTCTGGAGATTTTCGAGAACCGTGTGGATGTGGCATCAAGGGATATGGTTTAGTGGGCATGGCTGATGGGTAGACGGTTGAACTAGATGATGTTAGTCATCTTTTCCACTCTTAATTATTCTGTGATTCTGTGGTATAGTACAAGAAAATACAATCGTTTGGAAAAAAGAAAAGGAAAGCAAAATTGTTAAGCAAAAATCATTTTTATTAACCTAAATTGTTTACCTCACTTACATCTTCTCCAGAGTTTCTCATTTAGGGAATGTTGAAATTTTCAGATTTATTTCTACAGCAGAAATTAAAGTCAAAGCCTGGAATTCTTCCAAATTATCCATGTTCTGATTGGAAAGCCTAGTCTCAATGTGCAGGTGTATGCAAAATATGCTGCAGTTGTGCATACTTCTGTGGTCTTATTAATGGATTCTGCTTCATTAATATTTTCTTAGGGGAAGTATTTGTTTTTCGTGGCTCAGTCTGTTTATTTGTTTTTATTTTGCACCTCTCCTTAGTGTTAAGACTCGACCTGTGCGAATGCCTCCTGGATATCAAGCAGATCTTGTTATTCAGTTGGTGTGGGTGGATGGTGAGCCTCCACAACAGATTACCAGTCTTGCTGTAAACTCTGCCTATGGACTGTAAGTAACTCAAAATTGAGATACATTGATTTATTTTTTATGCACTAAATCATGTTCTTTCCAACTACACTTTGAAGTTCCCCAAAGGTATTTGAAGTCAGAGTAAAAATAATCAAAAGATGCTATTATGCTGACTGTTGGGTAAAAATTACTTTATTTCACATGAAGAGTGTAATATGAGATGTTAAACTGTAACTTTTGCTATTATTTTTACTATTCCTGTTTAAAAGACTGAATTGCTTTGCATCATTCTGTCCATTTTCTCAAGTAAAGTCCAATTACCTTTCGAATCTGAAATTTTAGAAGTTATTTTGAAAGAATCACTGAAGTACATTTTCTGAAAAAAGGTGAATGTATGCTAAATGTCATTTAACGTGATATCATATTTTTTTTGGAAGTTGTCTTGTGAGAACAGCTTTTTAATGTGTGTGCTAATCTCTGTTTGCAAGAGCAGCAGAGATCTGAAATAGAAATTTGAAGAAGGAACCTCACAATACTAAATTCTGTATGGAACTGCAAGTGAGCATATCTGTATGCATCTTACTCCTCAAGCTCTATTTAATTGCTGTTTTTTTATGTTTTTTCTCATTGATGATTGACCAGATACATTAATCAGTAATCATACACTATGTTGAAGGCATAAAAGACACGAGCCTTAATAAGTGTTAGGTGTCTGACTCCCACCAATATACTGATACTTTATAGACTTCAGAAATTTTACACAGAGCAAAAATTCTTACATATATTTACATATATTTGTGCAAAAATATTGTGTTTGAAGTTTGCTTTGTGAATCCTTTGACCTGTGTTTCCAAATTATTTCTGTTTATGAACTCCATAACCTTTTGGTTTACTGTTCCAAGGTTCGTGTGTTATTTGTGTAAATTGTAGGGCTTTGCATTATTGCAGTGCATTCTGCACAGAAGGTTAAAGGTGATAGTCTTCTTTCTGGAATGTCAGTTACCATGTTTCAGGACAGGATTTTGTCAATCCAGGATTACAAATCTGTAATTACAGAAAGTAAGCTTTAGTAGTTTCTGATGAAAATGTTGCTACAGAATTCCTAATACTAAATAATGATTATTTTTTGCACCACTTAACTATATATTACTAATACCTCTGAGGAACTTTTTTTTTTCTTTTTTTTTCCTCAGAGTGGCATTTGGAAACTGCAATGGTTTGGCTGTTGTGGACTTCATGCAAAAGACAGTACTGCTGAGCATGGGAACCCTTGAATTGTACGGATCGAGTGATCCGTACCAACGCCAGCCCCGTTCACCTCGAAAAAGCAAGCAGTTTGCTGCAGGTAGAAATTAAAATATTGTGGTTATGAGCTTGACATTCTTTGATTTTTTTTGCCTGTGGCTTTTTATAGTGCTTTTGACATGCATGACTATCTGCCAGCCAATGGAATTTCTATAACTTGACAGAAGAAACCCGATGTGCTTTAAGTACTGATACTTTTTCTCACAAGCAAAAAATTTCAGGAAGTTTATTATTTTGGGATGGAAGTCAGCAAGTAATTCCCTTTCCTGAGTCTCTAAAAATCATAAGTAGAGAAATAAACTGCTTCTCTGGCAGTCTCTTGAAGTGTAGTCTTCAAGCGTAGTCTTTGTTTGCTATTTTCTTTCTGTTTTCAGTAAATATGTAAGACTTGAGTTTAAACTTAGTTGTACTTTCTGCTAAGTGTTATTCATTGTTAATTGAATAGGTAGTTGTGATTGGGAAATAACATAATAGCTGGGTACACGCTATTTAGATAGCAAAACTAACTCCAGTCAGCCACTTTGTTAGCTCCTAATATAAATTTACTAAATGCACTTGTAACAAATCTTAAATTTGATGCCAAGAGGATCACATTTGTAATTCACAGCTATTATTATGTATTAAATGTTAGAAACATCAGTTCATCACTGCAGTTAAATTTTGCCAGACATTTTTGATTATCTAAAAAATTAACTTGTATAAGGGGAAAAACCAAAACCTTTTAGCTCTGCGTATGCCATAATAACGTACTTGAGTCAGAGAGAGTTATGAAATATAATTTATGTAGCTGCAGAATTTCAGAATTAGATTTTAAAGTCTGTTTGGAAACGTTGAATGTTTTAAATATACATATAAAATTATAAAAGCAGGATATTACAGTGGTTTTATGACATTAGCATTTTCATCAGCAGATCCTACAATAAATCATCAAATCCTATTTCTCCACGGAGTCCATATAAACTTTTTTTCATTTTCAGTATGATTGTACTTTCAGTAGAAAGAAATATTTGGAGAATAAAAAGTAAGTCTTCAGCCCTACTTCCATCCCTGAAAGACCACTTATCTCACTTTCTAAGCATTTAATCATTGCAAGCTTAGTTCTCATCATGCCAAGTGTTAAGGATGTAAATTTGGAACAGTTGAGGAAAGAGGAGACAAGCAGCTTTAAGCTTTCTTCATCTCCCAGTGTAATTTGAACAGCCAAACATAGGCAACACGATGCTGAGCTGTGTACAGAAGTTGTGGAAACAGCTATTATCAGCATTGCACCATGCAGGATTTCTATGTGTCAGGGACAATTTTGGCTACTCCTTTAAGGCAGTATTGCAGTTGTGCTGCTAGAATGGAGTCTGCTGGTATGTACTGGGTGACTGCCAAGAAAGAATATGCTCTTCTAGATTGGTCATAGAAACTATGCATCCGAAAAATGATCCTCAGCTGCTTTCTCACCATCCATCCTACATCTTTTACTTTTTTGGTTATTTTTATTGTTATATCTCCCAATTGGAAGGTAAGCATCTGCTGAAATTTCTTCACCTTGGCTGTTCTAGATGCTGGTTATGGATATCACTTCCTTTCACTTTAGACTGTTTTTTCTCTCTTTCCTCTGCCTGCTGCTGATGCTGGTGTACTGGCATGTTCCAAAGACAACTTTTGCATGCGTGGCCTGTCTAACTTTTATCCAGATTTAACGAAACGGATCCGTACTTCCTATCAGAGTAAGTTCTATAAAGGTTAGGCAAATAGCGTTATCATGAGACTATGCCTGACTTAAACCCATGTGTTTGTGCTTTGTAATGTGTTTCCTAAACACATTCAGCATGCATGCAGTTTATTACACTTTGTAATGTCAACCATGCTTCATTTTGACAGTTTTCTTTGTTATGCAGATATTTCAGATCTGTTTTCCTCTTCCAAAACAATCAATGAGAAAGCATCATTGACTTACATGGGACAAATTTGGCCTTAGAAATGAATTTTCAATCATGTTGTGATCTTGATGAGGGTATTTTCTTTGGTTTCATTTTCATTTCAGTGTGCACCTACTTATATGAAGCATTTCTTGTTTTTCAATGGCGCTGCCTGGTTACACTTATTAATTAATTCTTCCCTATTCTCAGAAGAGCAATGCTGTTTAAAAATCTGCCAATTGGGTTGCATGCTATGAAATTTTAAATGTTAATCTTGGTTTGGTACTTGAATATTTGGCTTTGGGGAACCATCCCATGGCTCTGATCTTTAATGGGGAATGTAAAGTGGGTATAAAAATACGTACATCAAAGAGTTATGAAAATTAATGTTTTTTATATTTTAAAATTTTGGACTATAGCAATATGTAATTTAAATATTAGCATTCATCACTGCACGATGTGATGAACAAGCTATAATTAATGTTGCAGAAATAAGTGTTCAACCAACAATCTGTATGTATCTTAATTGACTTAGTGTTTATATGTAATTAGGTCTCCAGGATGCCTCTTATTCATTTCTTTTTAAAGTGTTGTTTGCAGAACAACTGGACAGGTGATTTTACATTGAATACTCAGTGCAGGCGAGATAAAGAAAGGGGTGACAGTTGTTTTAGTATTTCATATAAATACATAGTTGTGGTTGTGGTTGTATGGTTGTTGAAGTACATTTGTATGCTCACAGAAGAAAATGACATAATTTAGCAACTAATTTCTGTGATTTAGTGTCATAGTACTTCATAAAAAGTAGTCTGTTTAGTTAGAAGACCAGGCCAGTTAGAAATCTAGCAGACCAAAAAAAGGACTGGTGTATAATGTTTTATATTTTATTGGTCAGGTCTTTCTAATTACAAGTCTATAGATTAGAACTCAGGGGACAAACTGCAGTCAGAGGTTTATGAATTTCCACCAAACAACAACAACAAAAAAGCCATACAAAAATGTGAATGAAGTCTAAGACAAAAAAGGACCAATGAGTCCAACATGTTCATCCACAACAACAAACACAGCTCACATGTTTTAAGAGCTTATATTTCTGATCTTGTTTCTACATTCAACCCTAAAAGGTTTCTATATACTGCATAGCCAAAGTCTACAATTTTGACTGTAGTTCATAAGCATTATTAACTCTCTTTCCTCGAAAAGTGTTTTGTTTTTGTGTTTGTCATTTGATACTTACATAGGAATATGTACTGATTGTCTGGTGCATCTTTCAGACCATTAAGACTAAGAACAAGGCAAAAATGTGTTATGGAGTATAAAGTATCTTAGCTAATGAGCAGTAGTTAAGAATATCTCCGATTGCTATGTAATTCTCAAGTTGAGTTTTGCTACTCTTATGAGAGAGAGGAGTTTTAAGAATGTTATTGAGGATGGATTTAGGATTATGATCACAGGCTTATTCTTGTAAGGGGCAGTGATAGGAAAAGAAAAGCATTGTTGAAGCTGTTCTGAAAACTGATATTATTAAGGTGAAAACAGGAATAGTTGTGATATTGTAAGGAGTAGGTCTACAGTATTGAGGATTATATGAATGAAAATTGAAGTTAATGGGAAGGCATATCAGGAGTTGATTCAATTAAAATAATGAGCTAGGAAGATAATTTCATGAAGGTCAGTTTGAGAGAATCAGACTAGTATTCACTGAAGCCAAAAAAAAGATTGTGTTGTGGTTTAACCCAGTAAGCAGATAAACACCCTACAGTCATTTGCTCTCATGACCCCCTCCCAATGGAATGGAAGGAAGAATCAGGGGAGAAAAAACAGAACTCATAGGTTGAGATAAAGAATATTTAGTAAGATGGAAAAGGAAGAGAGAAATAGCAGTAATGATAATATACATATACAAAACAAATGACGTGTGAAACAGTTGCTTGCCACCTCCTAAACGATGCCCAGCCAGTCCCCAAGGAGCTGCTGCCCCTCTAGCCAGCTCCCCTGAGTTGTATAGTTTATCTTCACATGAAGTCATACAGTATGGAATATCCCTTTGGCCAGGTTAGGTGAGCTCTCCTGGTTCTGTTCCCTCCCCGGCTCCTTGTGCCCCCGGTCCTCTTGCTGGCAGGGCAGTATCAGAAGCTGACAAACTGAAACATCCTTGGCTCTGTACAGTGCTGCTTAGCAACAATTGAAATATCAGTGTGTTACCAACCTTGTTCTTTCCCAAAGCCGAAACAGCACTACACCAGACACTATGAAGAAAATCAGCTGTCCCAGCTGAAACAAGGACAATAAGCAATATACTTTTGTTAGTCATTTTGAAGGTAATTTTCTGCAAGAAACTGATTTTGCACCCAGTCTTTGTATACAGAGTTAGCTTGATATTCCAAGAATATTCCAAAAAAAAGATTATACTGGCAATATTGAGTTCTGGACACTAGTGAGTAAGGTTTAGAAAGACAGGAATACTACTTGAACTTGAGTGGAAGTAAACATAGAAGAGATGTATATATCATTAGATATATGTCTATATATATCTATATCTGTATATATCAAGAGATATATATATATCATTAGGGTAACACAAGATCATCCTGGACAGCGAGATAAAGGAAAGGTTGATGTTTCAGTCTGAGGTGCCTTGCAACTGAAGGAGTGGCAAAAAAAACATCAAGCAGGTGGAAGAAGCAATGTCCTGAATATAAGAGATTTGCCAAAGGAAAGAGATGATCAACAATGACAAGGTCATTTTTTTTTACATCTGCTGTGGCAGCCATCTTCATTTGTAGCAAGACTATATGCCAACACAAAATAAATTTTCTCTGAAGTAGTGCTGAACTAAGGGGGAAGATTGTTGGCTTTTTTTCCCTTAACCAGTCAAAATTAAGTTGTACGTGTTATTGCCTAGGAGTAGATAGCATATATTTCAATATTAGAACAAATACATTTCCTCCATCTTGAGTGATTGTACTTGCAGCGGAACATAAAGCTACAAACTTACAAAACCAGTTTGATCTTCTAATTGAAATTCACACCATCAACAGAAATTCATACCATCTGTCAGTAAAACAAGAAAATAGTCTTTAAGAAGCATCCAAAGAGGCAACAGGTTAAAATTATGTTTACCCATTGGAAAATAGTTTTCAGAATTCATAGTTTTCACTGAGATATACCTGTTCCTCCTTCAGGCCTGTCCTTTGAGAGGATGAGAGTAGAAGTAACTTTGTTGCTAAAGGAAGAACAGAACACTGTGTTATGAGTCATTACTTATCAGTAATTAACACTTTAAATGACACCTGTCAACACAGTAGAAGCTAATCTATGTTGAGTTTTAAATTAATGTCTATGTTCTGAACAAGCTGCCATTTCCAAAGAATGCATCATGTTTAAGTGTAAAAGAAATAGCATGGTAATTCAGTGTAGAGACTTATGAATTAGTATGATACTGAGCTTACTTATTGGCTTGTGAATATTTATGAGAATTTGTTTATAGTTTATTAAATTACAACAAAAGATGTGATGGCTTGGATGCCTTTAAAGACTTGAAAGTCTGAATCATGTACTCAGAGATTCAAATTTTAAAATTATTTTAAATTAATATTATTTCATAAATGTTACTATTCTGTACTAGACATTACATTTTTGATCCTTTAATAATTTTTTTGTTTATTTAACAAAGAAAAAATGGGAATCGCAGCAAAAGTGATTGAAAAGGATCCATGAGCTGTCTTTAAAATTACCTTATGCCTCGGAAGGTATACTTACATATTGTGTAATTTTTATGTTTGTAACTTTTTCAAAGCAAAATAATGTCAATGGGTACAGCTTCTGACAGTTGTCTGTTTCAATTCCCAAACTCAGTTGTTTGCATTAAGTTTGCTGCCATGTTCTTCTTACAGTAGTTGGTCTCAAAATTTTGCTGATTTCAGCAAAAATATCTTGGGACAGAGGTTGGTCCTACAGAACTTAAAAGCAAGAATTGAAATTGTTTCCTAATATGATATCAGTTGTAGCCTCTCAAGGATTTGAGGGAAACCAAGCTGCATGGAAATACATATGAGATATTATTAAAATGGTTTCCTTAAGAAGGGAATTAGAAAATAAGCCCTAATACAAAGGAGAGCTTGAGAGCTTCCTTTCTTATCTCAAGAGAATCTCCAGTCTTCAATGGAATCGAAGATCAATAAAAATTCAGACGCGTTTATTCCTTTCAGTGAATGATTGCAGATTATGCAATGTCATGTAACATCTTCATCTTCTCTCTCAGCTTACATGAGTTTAGAGATTACAGAGTCACAAAATTTTCTTCCATGCCTAGGCAAAATGACAAGTAGAAAGTGGTTGGGAGGAGAAAATGGATTGTTTCCCAGAGCAGGAAGGCAGTTTGATGAAAAGGAAGGCAAAGAGATGGTTTCAGAGTTTTTACTACTTTGTCATGAAGCATTAGTTGGGAGATGAAAAATTAGTTCTCAATTTTTTCATCCTTCCTTCCCATTTATAAGTTGTGGACCAAAAAGTATAAAAATTTAAAGAATCCCAACTATATCGCATTATTGGAACTGCACTTATTTTTACTATCAGTGTTTCTGATCTGGTGATTTTGAATAACCTGAACTAGCAGAATGTTGCTGTTCATAGCAGGAGAGTTGGACTAGATGTTCCTCCTAGCTCATATGATTCTATGACTTTATGACTCTATTGTTAATGCAATAAGGATAAAAGAAACTTTGGATATATAGATGGATGATAAGTAGAACTCAGTGTTTCTAAGCAAGGGTGATTGACGCCAGGGGAAAATTTGCAAGTGACAGTACTTAAGCAAATCGAAGTGTTCAAGACTAAGACAGTGTGCTTTTGGAGGACATATAAATTCCTACACTAAAAATAAGAGATAGAAAAGTAGAAAGTGGAAAGTAAGACGTAGAAAAGTGCATGTTCACCATTCCAAAAATGTCGTAATATGAAATGCATTTTAAACTTTTGCCAAACATGTAGAGATTGTGGTTCTTCTCAAGGTGGTTGTTTTTTTTCTTTCAGAACGGTGGTGTGATTTGGTGCTTTTCCTACATAAGTCAGTGGCACCAGTGTACCTTGAGCTGTAATACTGATTATGTAAACTTCCAAATAAATACTTTCTATTCAGAAGCAAAATCTTACCTGGGATTTGGCACTGGGGGTTGGAAGTTAATGATCCTTGAGGTCCCTTCCAACTCAAGCTGTTCTATGATTATAACTTAGCCAAGAGTAACTGTACAGAACTTAGAATGATTTCATTAATCCATATCCATAGTGTCAAATTTTAGGAAACTCCAGTACTGCATTTGGAAAAGAATCAGTGTTCATTATTTCATTGTATGTATCTATACCTTACAAAAACACTCAACCATCAGCCCATGGTAGATTATAGCATGAGCTCAGACATGCCCAATCTGTGCTTAAGATGGGTTTTAGTTTGATCACAAACACAAGCTCATGCTTAAGCAGTTTAAGCTAGGATTATACTACTTGCTGCTCTGCTCCATGGTAGACTGCTGCAGATGAGTTCCTCATAAATTTTTCTAAATGATGTGAAGGGTGTCTTGTCCAAAAAACTCCCTGTTATATTCAGATAATACCATCACCTCTGTGCTCTTTAAAATGAGCAGTCTTCTGTGAATGCTTCTAAGATTCTAGTGTTGTAGTGATTATATTCTTTTATTCACTTTCTTCTTGCACAAGTATTCACTCTTTTTTTTTTAATTCCTCTTCATGCCCTCCTCACCCCATTTTATGGTTTCTGCTGTGCATTGTGCAGCACATGAAAGTATAGAGCTGATTCCACATCTCTTGCTCAGGGAAGACTGATTTTTATACAAATCACAAAGATTTGAATTTTAAACTACACAAAGTACAGAGACTCTTTGTCTACTCTGAGGCACTTGGAAAACAAATCTGAGTTAACAAGAGGTGTGATTTTTGAAGTAGACCTAAATTTCTGTAGGGACAGCCTGATAACTACAGTTATTCTGAAATAGGTATTTCCCTCACTTTTCACACTGCTCCTTTCTCCACTATGGCTTTGAAGTGCAGAATATCATCGACCAAGAAAGCTGAAGCATGCCCTGTTAGATTGTAACTTAACTTTTTAACTCCATTTTTTCAGGCCTGACTGAACTCAGTGACAGTCCAGTTTCCCTGGAGCTAGAGCGTTGCAAGTCTCCCACTTCAGGTAAAGGTGATTGGCTTCTCTTCCTGCAGTCTGTATAAGACATTCATGTCGTGCATCACTGTATTCTAGTAATCCCTAAGAAGTGAAGTGTATAATCACAGATCCAAAGAGAAGAATTAACTGGAGAAGTGCTTGTTATATAGTGCAATGAAATTCAAAATCTGTTCATTTAAAGAAAAGTTATTAATATCTGGGGCATCTTGAAGTGAAGAGTATGTAAACACGGGAGCTGATGCAGTTCAGGCATATCTTATATCTCACATGAACTCAGCACTTTTGTCAGAGGATTGTCTCTGTTTTCGTAAAAGGCTTTGTATTTTAATAGAGAGTCCCTATGACTGTGTGTCAAAACACATACGTGCGTATAGAAAATTTGTTTGAAAAGAACCCTTCAGTGCCTCAGTGTTGTAATTTACAGTGGAAACATAATCTTAAACAAAAAATACTAGTTTATCAGTTGGACCCTGCCCTGGAATCCTGGCCATTTAAAAGTTTACAAATGTTTCTAATCTTGCCTGTAGTCCTGCAGAATGTGGAGTTCAGCACGTTCACATTCCTAGAGACTGGTCTGCACTGATCTCTTTTAATGTGAATTCAGTGTCTTAAACTTGGTTGCTTAGAATTGTTTTCTAGTAGTTGACTTTTAAGTGTGATAGAAAATAAGCATGTGTAGCTTTGATACATTAATTTTGTTTATGGTGTGCATATCACAGTTCTTTACCTTCTAAGTCGGTAAATATTGGTAGATACTTTTTTTTTCCTTAGTTACTGTAAACATTTCTCAGAAATGTGCCATTCAAATCCTTTATTCACATATTTTATTCTAATGGGACACAGTCACCTCTAATGTAGCACAGTATTTAGTAATTACAAAAATCTGAAGCAAAAAAAATGTTCACATGACACGTGAAGAACTAAAATAAAAACAGTTGTTTTGTAATAAAGGTACCTTTCCTTTTGTTGTTGCAACCCAATCACTGTAGACATGGGATAGCTTAGTGGTGAAACAGTATTGATAAAGCCGTAGAGGCTGACTCTTGAGGTTGCCTCAGAAACTTGTTATAAGGACCTCTTTTTTTTAAATGATGACTCAGTAAAATTAGACCATTTATTTTCTGGACCACTGGGATCCATCCTTTCAGACTTCTCTCTGGAAGCAGGGTACAAATTCTCCTTTTTACTGAAAATTAAGAGATCACTGATGTGGTAAACATATGTGCATGTGATTAGTTTTATGATGAATGAAGTCCATAGCGTCTTATGTTTTCTGCAGAAAATCAATTGATTTTTCCTTCCATGATTGATCAAAAATACCAAATTTATACAAAATTTTATTGATTTGCTCTGCAGTTAATTCTGCTTTTCAGCTCTGGAGGACATGCAGCAAGGAAAAATGTCTAACTTAAGATTGTTTCTGGTTTTAGCCTTTTGTGTTCTTCAAGCTATATTTGAATACTTAACATTTTGCAAAATTAACTGCTGCTTAAAAAAAGAAATTATTTTTACTGTGGCTGATAATAATTATTTTTTAAGTGTACATCAAGCATGGATCTTGTAGAAACCAACCTCAAAATTGTGACCACCGAGCATCTGGAAGTAGTACTACCTTGTGCTTCTGAACACATCCTCACAACCACATTTGTTTTGCACTGACTAGTATTTCTCCCATCATATGATAAAACTGGTTGATATGTGTAATAATGGATTCACTTGACAGGCTTCTTTTGCTTCCAGTCTTGCCTTTGATATCTTTAAAGTTCATGGTATGCAAACTCTGTAATTAAATTGTGCTATACTCTTAGAATCCCATGATATCTTTGTAAAACCAGCCACCGTGTATCTCTATTAAGGATAGACTTAACACTTAATCCTTCAGAAATTTAGCATAAACAGAAAGGGAAGTGGGAAATAAGTCTTATGGTTCAAGTTGCTGCCCAGTGAGATTCACACTGGGTGTATCTACATCACCAGCTGATGCGACTGATTTATTGCAATTCTCTACAGTTAGCAGGCCATATCAGTGTCAGATCTTCACTGTCAGTGCAGTTCATGCTTGCTGCTGACTTGAGTATGCATACATACGCAGATTACATACAGTTGAGGGCTAAAAGTCTGCATGACAAACACCATACTCTTGCTGGCATAGAGGGGAGCAACTTGATCCTTGGCTTCATCACAACAGGAATGATACAGGGAGCTACATTGCACTGACTCAAGCACAAAGCAATCTTCAGGAAGGATTGCTCTAGCATTCTAATTGCTGGTGTAGATACAAACAATTTTACTTCCAAGAAAGCTGTTAGTAACTTGGTCTGGTTTCAGTTCCAGCTACGCCTCTAGAACAGTGTCAATGAAGGCTTTTTCAAGAACTTAATCTCTTGCCTGCTCATCTCTTGATCTGATCCTGAACATTGCTTAGTCTACCTGGACTATCTGACCTTCTTTGTTTTCCTGAAAAACCTATGTTGCCTCTAACATCCTACTGCTTGTTGATATTTTAACCTCTAACTGAGGTTCTACAATAAGACCCAGTGTCAACTCAGTAATTCAGTTTTGTTTATTTTGCCAAGTCAAAATTAGGCATTTGTGTTCTATTGCTGATGTGCGTGTTAGAGCACTGAGCAAATGACATAATGCTGAAAATTAATCCTTATTGTATTTGCAGGGCTGTTATCTAGTTCAGAACAAATCAAACTTCTTCCATTAAGCAATACTTTAAACTTGATCAATAAAGCTGTCTTTTCAAGTATTCGACCTGTACAATTTGGGAAAGCATGGCTTTGCAGTGAAAAGTGAAAAAATTACACTTTTCAGTCTAGAACATGAAATTGACTGCATTGCCACACAGGGATAGTAGCAAGTGAGGAAATAATCAGGCTTTCATATTAAGCATGATAGAGAGAGGAAAAGAATGGTCTTTCTTATACACTGTTATCTTATTCTAATTTAATTACCATTTAAATGATATAATAATGCAGTTCCAATACTGTACAGGAAGACAAGGAGTTAATAGATCCATTTGTAAAACTCTACTTGTTTGTGAATGTCTGAGAGGTGGCCGTTTACACTGTAAGTAAATTGCATAGCAAATATAACAGTATATGTATAGGTGAACGCTTCTGAAAATAGCAAAATGAGAAACAGTAATAAAAAACTTGTCTTTAACAAGTATTTCATGGGCATGATCATGCAATACATGTCATATAATGGTATTTGATTGGCTTTAAAAAAGTCTCAGATCATATCAAGGAAAGTGGAAGTGAACTTTTTCAGGACCATCAGAATACCTTGTTCTTACTCATGCATACCATATTCTTTCGATGTAGAATGTCAAGCATTTTGATGGTCGTTTGTGATTTTCAGCTCAAAAGCTAGGGCTTTGTACTTCCTTAATTCCATGATGGATTCAGAGGGTTCAGTCTTTCCAAAATACAATTTTTAAAAACTCTCTGAGGCCTCATAAGCCCTTACAGTGTTAGTGATTATCCAGTGTTGGAGTTAATTACTATATGGTGAATTGCAAAACAGTACCCACCAGAATAAACTTAAGCTTTATTATTATCATCAAATAAAGAAGACTTATTCAGGGGCTTTTAGAAATACAGTTTTACTGTTCCTTGTTTCTTTTAGCCATTTTGTATTTCAGCATGTAGCTGAGAACACAGTGAGGTGAGCACAAGGAAATACATCTTTGAGAGGCCGTTTCACATAATTGCCCATTTCACTTTACACAATATAGACTTCTCTCAAAGATTAGAAAGAAAAAATGTAGTTGGTCCATGTCTGGGAGAGCAACTTCTGAAATGTGAGTTTTGAAACAAAAATATATTTGTGTTTATTCTTAAGAAATCACCTGTATATTGGTGGCTCATATCCAGAAGGCTGTTCTGAAAGTAATATCTCCTGTTTTCTTATGTTGGCCCCCAGCACCAGAGGCAGATGTTGGTGGCATGGCAGTAGAGGTCGAACCTCCCTGCCAATATTCTATTACATGTTGTTGCTGTGTGATACATGGCAGCAGAGGGGCAGTCTGATAGAATGGCATCTGTCATGGGAGTGTGTATGAAGCAGAGGTGTGTAATTAAATTCTTCCATGCTGAAAAAATGGCACCCATTCACTGACTCTTCCTGAACATTTATGGAGACCTAACAGTGAATGTCAACACAAGTGGAGCTGTGGGTTGTGTGTTTCAGTAATAACAACATGCTCATTGCAGGTGAAAAAGCATAGTTAATGGTGGTAACTATGTCCAAGAAGAGTATTTTATAGCTGAGAATGTGCTCAAATACTGTTATTGTGCTCTTTGTATACATGGGAGTTTCCATATAAATAAATAGAAAGCGTTGCTTTTGTAGCAAGCTACATGTGTTTAAGACTGTAGCGCTTAGAGAAGGCTGCATGAAGACTTCCACAGTTGATTTCTCTTAGCTTTGGAACAGGTTCTTAAGGCAAGATTAATGGTTCTTATGACTTCCAGGTGCTATTGTCTTGATTTATTGCACTCATGACATGAACAGATGAGGCCCACACCATGCCAACCTGTTTTCCTACAGGAAGTGCTTTCTATATAGCTTAGTTTCAAGAATAACACTTGGAAGTTTTTAATAGTCACTCCTTCTCAACTTTTGTGTAATGACAGGGTAGCTGAAGAGATTTGATTCCATTTGAAAATTGCTTGCTTGCTTGTTTTCCACAATAATACATACATTTCAAAAACATTGTGTGTGTGAAAACAGTGTAATTTTTTTTTAAACATGATTATCAGTTATCAATATAATTATGTGCCAACATAACCATTTCTACTTATTTACATTACATTAAAAAGGATATTTATTAGTTAGAAATTGTTAACGAGATCCTAGACTGAGCATAGGACACATTTTATCACTCTTTTCCAGTGTTTTTGATTGGATGGATAAATGCTTGCTTAAGATCTCAAGAAAGGATGTGTATGTCAGGGATTAGCAGTTAGATATTAGAAGGAATATTTTCACTCAGA